ATAAAATAATGACCATACCAAATCCTGGTACAGTTTCAAAGAAACTGTCTCTCATACATTGCTGGTTAGAATGTAAAATGGTACAGTCTGGAAAAATGATTTTACTTCTTAAAAGCTAAGTATTCACTACCATAGGACCCAGCAATTCACTCCTGGGCATTTATCACAGATAAATGAAAACTTATGTTCACACAAAACCCTGCACATGAATATGCATAGCAGCTATATTCATAATAGCCAATAATTAGAAATGACCGACCAATCTATCCTTAAACAGGTGAATGGTTAAACTGTGATATATCATGAAATACTAATCAGCAATAAATGAAACTATAATACAACAAGTTGAATGGATATCAAGGGAAGTGACTGAGTGATAAAGGCCAACCTCAAAAGTTTACATACAGGCGAGTGTCGTGGCGCATACCTGTAATCCCAACAGCTCAGGAGGCAGGAGGATCTCGAGTTCAAAGCCAGCTTCAGCAATGGTGAGGTGCTTAGCAACTGAGTGAGACCCTGTCTCTAAATAAAATACAAAATAGGGCTGGGAGGTGTCTCAGTGGTCGAGTGTCTGTGAGTTCAATCCCTGGTACCAAAAAAAAAAAAGGTTGCTCTGATGGATACACACATCCAGATAGTTGATAAAATGACATAGGACTTTACACACACATTTCCCCAGAGTCCTTTTCTTGGCTGTGATATTGTACTTGACTTACATGCAATATCCATTGGGGGAAACTGAGTAAAGGATACATAGAATCTCTCTGTACTAGTTGTACTACCTTATAACCCAAAATCTTTATTTCAAGTAAAGTTTTTAAACACCCTAGAAGAGATTACATGGCACTTTGACAATCTTTGATAGATTGCTGTTTTAGATGTGTCTGAGATTACGTTTAAAAAAAAAAAACAGAGATAGAATATTTCTCTCTTAGAAACATATACTTTAGTGTTTACAGATGGAATCATGCCATGTCTTGAATGTGCTTTAAAAAATCATCCAGTGGGGGGAAAAATCATCCAGTGGGGAGGACAATTAGATGATGAAACAAAATTCATGTTGAGAATTGTTGAAATTGGACACTGGTTATACAAGATTCCTTGTACTGTTTTTCTCCCTTTGTATATAGTAGAGGCATTCCATAACGAAACAACTTTAAAACATAAATGAAATAAAAATTATGGGGGTGGACTTGGTACTTTTGACTGTGTACAAGGTCAGGAGCAAGGTCCTTGACTTCTTCTTGCAAACTGAGCTCAGCCACAGCTGCCAGGCTAGAGAAAGAGGGCTTCCTGGGTACCCTTTCACCATACTTTTGTCCATATGCAGCTACATGCATGAAGCTTCAGTGTTCTTGGCATTAGCTCTGCCAGGCCACTCGTGCTCTAGCTTTCCATTTGTTCTTGCATCCACACATCCATCTTTCCTAAGGGGACTGGGGATTGAGCTCAGGGACACTGTACCATGGACCTACATTCCCCTTTTATTTTGAGACAGGGATGCTTTACCACTGAGCTACAGCCAGTAGCTCATTTCATTTTTTTATTTTGAGTCTTGTTAAGTTGCTTAGGGCCTCATTAAGTTGCCCATGTTGGCCTGGAATTTACAATCCTCCTGCCTCAGCTTTCCCAGTCACTGGGATAATAGGCAAATGCCATCATGTCCAGTCTCGTCTCTCCATTTTTTGATTCCTATATTTAGTCTCTATGTAGCCACCATCCTTCCATCTGTTCACTTTTTTATTTATCTAACATTGACTGAATATCAACATCAGGGAAAAGGGCATGGCTACTGCCTTCAAATAATTCACAATCTAGGTGGGGAGAGAAGCTAACACAATGCAGAAAAGAGTAAATTAGAGGCAGCATTAGTTCCCGGAGGAAGGGATCAGATAAGGCTTGCACAAGGGAGCAAATATGTCAGAAGACAGTCTTAATACTGTCACCTTTGTTGGGCCCATGTAAATAATCCAGGATAATCTCCCTATTTCAAGGTCAGCTGATAGTGCCGTAATTCCATCTGAAACCTTAATTCCTTGTTGTCAAGTAACATAACATAGTCACAGGCTCTGAATAAGATATTTTTCATATTGTAGAGAGCATTATTCTGCCTATCACAAGAACAGAGCCCAGATACAGACCCATCCACATGAAACATGATTTAAAACAAGAACAGAAATAGATTCGTTGGAAAGGTTCACCTATTTGGCAAATGGTGCAGAGACTATTAATTATTCTTACAGAAAAAAAAATGAAATCGGATTCCTACCTCAGACCATACATAGAAATCATTTGCAGGTAGACTTAAAACTTACATGTCAAAAAAAAAAAAAACCCTTCAAAACATAACATGGAAAGATAACATAGGGAACATCTGTATGACTTTGAGATAGGGAAAAATTTCCTAAACATACAAAAAATACAAATCACATAGGACATGACTGACAGGTTTGTCTATATCAAAATTTCAGCATTTCAGCTCATCAAAAGTTAAAAAAAAAACAAAAAAACGAGACTGACGAGACAAGCCAGTTGGGCTCAGTATTGCATGCCTGTAATCCCAGTGACTCAGGAGGCTGAGGCAGGAGAATCACAAGTTCAAGACCAGCCTCAGCAACTTAGCAAGACCCTGTCTCAAAATAAAAAGAGCTGCAATGTAGCTCAATGGTAAAGCACCCCTGGTTCAATTCCCAGTATTAATTTGAGGGGAAAAAAAAAAAAAGATAAACCACAAATCAGGGGAGAATGGTTGTGACACAGATGTGACAGACATCCATTTGTTTTTGCATCCCATCCAAAATGGGAGGATATAGATGGAGATATAGATAGATATAGATATAGATACATACATATACATATGTATATATATTAAAGATAGTGCAATGAAAATGAGTAAAATTCATAGGTGTTTAAACATTAAAGGAAACAAATGACATAAAGTATAGATAAAATGCTCAACTCATTAGTGATCAGAAATGTAAATTAAAACCACAGTAAGATATCACTTCATACCCATTAGTCTCTCAAAAGCTGCTTGATATTGCTCATCCCATGAGTTGGCCAGGATGTAGAGCAATCTGAATATTAATATTCCACTGCTGAGAGTCTAAGTTGGTACAATAGCTTCAGGAAATTGCTTAAGTTACCCAGGACCCAGAGAAGCCACACCTAGGTGTCTTTACCGTAGAGCATGTATTCACACTAGGTGGGCTGATTTCTCCAAAAGTGAGCAAAAAACAGCTATTTACAATGGCCCGTGGCCCTCAAAAGAGCCACATAATGTGAGCAATACACAGTTTACCTATGGTATTGATATTTCATGGGAGGCAGGATGGGATTAAGAAAACTGTGTTAAAGGCTCATTAGGGGGCAATAATGAAAACAAGGTTGAGAAACACTGTCCTAGAAAAAGTCCTGGTCATGTGCCCAGGAGGTGTGTAAATGTGTCTAACAGCAGCATCATACACATCAGCAACAACACAGGAAACAACCCATCCTTCCCCAGAAGTACAGTGGATACACAATACATGAAATATTCATAAAACCCAAGCCTGTGCCTCAGTAAATGTGAATCCATCACAACTACACAGGCAGAGGAGTGAGAAGAGCCAGCCAGGGAATAGTTGATGGATAGTTCCATTTATATAAAGTCAAAACCAGGCAAAATCACTTCTAGATGACCACTACTTATAATACCTAATACAATGTAAATATTATGTAAATAGTTGTTATACTGTTATGTTCAGGGGAAAATGACCAAAAAAAAGTCTGGACATGGTCTGTATAGACACAATTAAAAATATATATTTTCAGTCTGAGGTTGGTTAAAAAAAAAAACAGGCAAAACTCAACAAAAACATGCTAACACAAAGGTGTAGGAGTGATTTTTTTTTTTAATTTTTGATATAAGGTCTCTCCAAGTTTCAGAGATTGGCCTTGAATTTGAGTTCCTCCCTCCTCAGCCTCCCCAGTCGTTGGGACTACATGTGTGGACCACCTTCAATGGGAATAGTCTGAAAAAAAAAATTTCAAACTATTGGATATCTCTAAAAGAGACAGAAAATGGGATTGGAGTGATAGAAACAGGAGGTAAATTCTAGAATTAAAGTGTTAGGCATATCAATAGATGCACCCTTTTAAATTTCAAACTATATTTGCATGTGTTTGCTATATATTTTCTTTGACTAGACACATAAACATATAGATAGGTATTCCTCTATATCCACAGGGGACTGGTTCCAGGACACCCTATGGATACCAAAATCCACTGATGCTCCCAAGTTCTTTGTATAAATGGTGCAGTATTTGCATAGAACTTACACAGAGCTTGCTGTATACTTTTTGTTTGTTTTGGGTGATGAGGATTGGTCCCAGGACCTGGTGCATGGTGAGCTGGACCTACACTTCTAGCACGCCTACATAATCACTTCTAGATGACCACTACTTACAATACCTAATACAATGTAAATATTATGTAAATAGTTGTTAAACTGTTATGTTCAGAAGAAAATGACAAAAAAAAAAGTCTGGACATGGTCTGTGTAGACACAATTAAAAATATATATTTTCAGTCTGAGGTTGGTTAAATCCTCTGATGAAGAACCCACACATACAGAGAGCGAACTGTACAACATAACAACATTTGAACACATTTTTCCTAAAGGTCTTCTATGGCGGACATACTGGTAAATGGTTTTTAATCGAGTTCAGCGGGAGGAGCTCTTGAGCACTGACCATGGGGAAACCCCATGTCTCCCTGTCTGCCAGGTTGCTGTGGGTTGAGTGGCAGGTGACTGGCAGCGGTGTGTGATCCAGCCAGTGTGTGCCTTCAACCAGTCCACAGTTCTGCAGTAAGGATGGTTTGAAAAATTAGCTCCTGGACCTTGTCTGTCCTCTCACAAAAGGAGCATTGGTCCTAAATCATCTGGCTCCTTTTCTGCATGTCCACCTTCTGCCCTTCAAGCCCACTCCCCTTTGCCAGCTGCTATCTCTGCTTCCAGCCATGCCGGATGGAGTTCTGGACACGACTGTCCGCGCTGAGGAGGCGGGGAGTGAGGAGGACCTGTATGAAGACCTGCACAGCTCTGGCCACCACTACAGCCACCCTGGAGGGGGCGGCGAGCAGCTGGCCATCAACGAGGTAGGGTCAAGACTGTGTGGGTGGAGGGAGGGACAGGGCTGGACCCAAGCTTGGCAGATGTGGGCCTGGCTGCCAGGGCAATTCAACAGACTCCCACAGGCCGGATGAGCACAGTCCTGTTCAAACACATGATGTGGCACTGAGTGCACACAGCATGTTATAGCCTGTGGCTCTCACTCTAGGGTGAGGTGTTTAGAGCAGGATGTCCAGACATAGGGCTCCGTTGTTCCCTTCTGGGACCCACAGAGGATCAGAAGAGTAGGCACATGTGAGTGTTCCCGTCCTCCTGACACTGCTCTCCTAGGAGAAGGAAGCCTTTTGCAAATATGTCCTGGTGGGTGGAGCACTGCCTGACAGAAGCAGTCAGGGGCCCCCAGTCACTCCAGCCCCCACCCTCCAACAAGCCATTAGCATAGGAAGACTGGGGTCAAGGCAGGGAAAACTGATTTCTTACCTGTGGACACCAAGAGCTCCAAGTATTGCTGTTGCTATGACAACTATGTGCCCCTGTTCTTACCTAAGCCGAAGAAATTAGTGAGAAACCTCATCTGAGCAGAACTGGTTCCCATCCCTAGTTCTCTTTTTGCATTCTCCAGAAAAAAGAGACATTTAAAAATATTTTTAATTTTTGTTTGGTGCACATAATAATTGTACATGGGGCACAGTATGACATTTCAATAAATGCATACAATGTGTAATGATCAGATCAGGAAAACTGGCATATCCATCACCTCAAACATTAATCATTTCTTTGTGTTGGAAGCAATAAAAAATCCTCTCTAGTAGCTATTTTGAACTATTCTTAATTGTTGTTAAGCAGCATTATCTTGCTATGCTGTACAAGACTAGAAATGATTCATCCTGTCCAGCTGCACCACAGCATCCATTAACCATCCTTTCTTAGCAAAGAGAAACTTTGAAACTTTGATTCTCCTCATTTTTCTCACTTGTGCTCCTGTTTTCTTGCCCTCTTTTATCTAAAAGTGGAGTGGGTGGTGGAACATAATGGTAGTTAACCAAACGTTCAGCACAAGCACATGCCCCTAGCAACACCATGTTCCCTTGGCTGTAGATTCTGTTGTGTTTCTGCTTTATTAGAACCAGAATCTTGCAGCACTTCAATTTTTCCTCAGAAAAGGATCCATTTACAATTGCCCTTTTACATTTCTTGAATGAACGGTCTGGTGGGCTTCTCAGAAACCAGTGCAGAGTGCAGTGCCCCAGTGTCCCCATGACTAAATAATAAATGGTGATGAACTCTTCTTAGAAGCCTGGCTCTAGATAATGATTTTTTTTTTTTCTTTTGGCAGTATTGGGAATGGAACCCAGGGCCCCAAATGTGTGAGGCAAATGCTCTATCACTGAGCTACATCTCCAGCCCCTCTGGAAAATGATTTAAAATTGTTCATCAAATATCCATGAAGCATAGAACATAAACGTGCTAATAAAACCTATCTCTCTTTTATTTTTTCTTGCTGCTGGGGATTGGAGCCAGAGCCTAAGGCATGCAAATATATGCTCTACCACCAAGCTATACCTCCAGCTTCCAACCATTCCTTTTAATTGCCTCTTATGAGCTATTTTGGGTGGAAGCTGTTCTGAAGTCACATCTTCATTGTAAGCAGAATTCACAGATGATGGTTGTGCTTTGCCTTGAAAATGCAAGTTGCCTGCCACAGTATCAGGCTCATTCCTAGGAGGGGAAGCCCCTGAGTTGGAGCCTGTCACATGTGAGTGTGCAAAGGACTGAGCATCAGTTCACTTGGCTATAAAACAGAATGATCACGGAGCTGCGTGAGGACTAACTGGAATAATGAATCTAATGAACTTGACCTAGCTCATGGCAGGGCCTCAATACAAGTCTCCAGGGAAAGGATAGGAGGAAGAAATGGTAACCAAAAGCGATGAAAAAGTGGTCCCAAAGAAGTGGAGTTATTTGACTGGCCTTCAGTATTACACTGGTTGAGTTCCCATGTCTGGGTCTTGGTGGTAAAATTTTGAACTGTCACATCTTGTTACTAGTGAGGAGGTACTTTTGGGGGGCCCTCCGGTCCTTGACAAATCATTTATTCTAAGATGCTTTGACCAAGAAAGACCAAGAGCTGGAACTGCTCTAAAAGAATATATAGTCTTTGGCAGAGAGGCACCTTAAGGAGGGAAATGCAAGCAGTGTAGATAGGAATTTTATAAGTGGCTGTTTGCATTGCTTAACGAATTTGTTTTCCTGTTTGGCTCAAGGTCTTTCTTGGTGTTGGAGGTTCCTGGGTATACATTATGTTTAGAATAACCAGTACTTCCTAGGGTACTGTCCTCCTGGACTCTGGCCATTTCCTGAAGGGGAAGAAATGTTACAACCCAGAGGAAACAACAGCTGGACTGAGGGACCCCTCTGACCGACCCAGCAGGCTGTGCAGGGCCCTGAAAGAGAGCAGAGGAAAGCAGGCCAGCTGTGGAGGCCATCTCCTTGGTGCACAAGAGAACCTGCAGCCAATCAGCCCTATGTCATCATGACATGGATGTCGTGCTTGTGCTTACTGCAGGGATATAGGAGATTTCACTGGGCCAGGTAGTGTTGGCCACAGTCCTCTGAAGGCATGAAACAGACTCTCGTCAGAAACTCTTTGAAAGGATATAAACAGTGATTGTCTGATGAGAGGCCAGGGGAGTTGTGTAAGGTGCGCCTAGGCACTTGCTGCTGACCCTGCAAGCTCCAAAACAAAGCTTGGCTTGGGGTTAATGAGTCTCACACTTGGAAATTTTTGAGGCAACTGGTGTCAGAGAAAAGTCCAGACTCAGTAATATTTGGTTTGCTCTAAAATTACATATTTACTTGTATTTTTTAAGAATACATGGGTGTCTTGTTCCAAATTGTGGCAATTTCTTATTCATATTGGCCTTAGAAGAGGAAAGCAATTCTTAATTTCCTAAGAAAGGGAAACCTAAGTCATCTGGCCTAGAGAGCGGTAGACAGGGGAGAGCTGAGAGGCAGTCTGCATTCTGGGTATTTAAGGACTGTTATGGGTGTGATGTATATTTGTGCATGTGGTATGCATGTAACATGTGTATGCTGAGTACTTACCGTGTGCCAAACAGTGTCTGCAGCCCTAGGAGGCAGATATACAGAAGGCACAATCCTGCCTGCCAAGAGGTGGCCGTCCAGGAACAGAGCTGTGTGAGGGCATTTATCTTTCTCTGTGTGTGTGCCCTCAGGACATACAGAAGGCCCAGAGTTTTCATTCTGTATTCCTTGCTCATATTTGTGTCTGGCCCTTTATGACTATCCAGATCCTGCAAGATAAATCAATGAATGTAGAAATTGAGTGTCCTCAGCGCCCACAAGTGTTCCTGTCTCCTTTCAGCTTTGTCCCTTCTAGAGCCTTCCCTAGATATCTGTGGCTTAGCACTAGGCCTGTCCATTTTCCCCTTCCTGCTTTACCCCACTGGGCTGGGCCATCACATCTGCCATAAGACATTCCCTTTCCAAAGCCACCCAGCAGTGGCCCTTCCATGATGTTTGTGGTTCTGGTACATACTGTGATCAGGGAGAGACAGGCGTGGCTCTGGAGTTGTTGGGGAAGGTCTGGACCAACCACCTCACTCACTGCCTGGGAACAGTTGGAGCTTCCTCTAGGCTACATCTCCAAGGGTCATGGAGATGTAGCACATACAGCTACTCCTCACTCCAGGATGCTGGTAGGGGTGGGTACCAACAGGCTGCTTCTGAATCATCCCAGTGAACGAAGATTAAGCCCAAACTAGAAGGTAGACAGACAGACATGCAAGACATATGTTTCATTTAAACAGGGCTTAAAATATAAAAGAGAACACCCATTGTCATGAAGCCAGCACAACAGTAGGTAGTGAGATCATTCCAGTAACTTGGACATTGGGTCACTCGAGGATAGAAGGTATCTCATTATCCTTGTCTTATGGCACTTCATGGAACACATGGGGGATGCTACAGGACCTGGGGCCAGCTTTTGGCCACTCCTCCATGGACTCAGTCTGATCCTCTGGCTCAAAGTATCTCTGTCATTTCCAAGCTCCCTATGACCATTCCATGGCCTGATCTGTATGTCACACACACTCCAGCCCCAGGGGGAGGTGTCCAATGCCTGTAGGTATCCCAGATACATTTATCCTCACACAACCACCTGGCTCAGGTGTTCCTTAAAAGGGGCAGGAGCACCTTGAAGTCCCTTGGAACTAACACTACCATGTCAGTCCAGGGCCACAAGGCCACCTACTGACCAGCACCTCCAAAATAAGCATTCTTCCCTCTACTGTCATCATGAAGCCACAGGTAAGGCTAAGCCCTTACCTGCATCAGATACCTGTCTCCCCTTCACTTCTACATCTGTCCTGCCACCTCAAGTCCCTGACCAGCAGCCGCAAGGGGATGGGGACATTTTCTTCTGTCTTCAAGCCTTTTTTTTGTTTTAGATGAAATTTACACATAAAAAAAAAAAAAGAAGAAGAAGAAGAAAGAAAGAAAGAACAATTCACACCAAAAAAGCTATTGCTGCTATTGTTCCTGCTGCACACTGAACCCTTTAGGACCAAAAGGCTAGGGGCTCCCAGTCAGAGGGGTGGGCCCTGTCAGTCTGGCTTAGAGCAAAGGTCCTTCTACCACATTCCATGTTCCCAGGCTGACCTGCTGTGCATGGACAGAGGCCATGCCCACATTTGGATCTGGACTAACGTATTAAAACAAGCCTTGCTGTGCATGGTACAGTAGGAAGCTGCAGACCCTGCAGGGCTCAGGGCCACAATGGCTTGCAAGTTCCCAGCCCTGCTGTGCCCAGGAGCCCAAGGATACATAGACTGTGCACAGATTCACAACGAAACATCTCTAAGTCAAGGATTCCAAACCACAACCCATTAAATGGTATGTCCCACAGTTTTTAGAGGAGCACTGGGATTTGGCGGTGCCTGGGGGACTTTTGATGCCCTCTGATTCCCCATAAGTCCTTGAAAGCTTGGGGGAGCAAACTGGCACCCAAGAACTGGGCACGAGCTTCCCTGGAGTCTTCAGAAGGATGAAGGCACACTCTCCTATAAGGGCGTACATGTATACTGACCCACATACACATAGAAACCTGAACACAGACAATCACCCATATGTGAAAACACAGCCTCTCCACCATTTCATCTGTGTGCCTTCCCCTTGCTCTTGGGAGGGACTCTTCCTATCCCAGAGTCAGAGCACTGAGTTTGGTGCCTAGGAATCTGCCCACCTCAGACCTGTATGTTCAACCCTCTCAACTACAGTTTTATTCTGGAGAGAGACATTGACCTTGACTGAACTCTGTTGTGGACAGGAAAGACTCAAGCATGAGAGTTTTGAAACCTTCCCAGTTAAGATAATGGGCTCTGTCTGGTGAAGGAAATGGAACCCCTGGTTAGTTGACAAAGGATTTTTTTTTTTTTACACATCAGCTGAAGGTACCAATTATTTGCCCAAAGGAGCAATGTTTCTCTGGTGGTTGAGGTCATGAGGAAAAAAGCCCTTAGCATGAATCGGCCTGGCCAGGGTTCAGATCCTGGCTCCGCTATCCCCAGTCCTGGGTGATTTTATGACTAAGCAAATTACGGGATCTTTCGGAGCCGCATTTACTCATCTGAAAAGTGGGGACCAGAAGGCAGCCTTATTAGTGAACAGAACTCCTGATCCATTCCTCCCCGAAGGGTTGGTGATCGGCATTTTGGCCTCTACATCCTCTCCCTACGTCTGTGAGGTCCCAGAGCATCCCTGAGCCATCTGTGCCAGGACAGCTGTGCGGGTGTTGAGGGCTCCTGGCTACCACAAGGAGGCGCCAAGGGCAGAGCGCAGCGCACGCTGGAGCTCCGAGACCCCTCGCAGCTTCCTTAACCGGTCCCCCGTCCTTCGTCTCCCTCGGCTGTCCTCCCACCCAGCCATCCTCGCCAGCTCACTCGGTGCGGTTGCCCTGACTCCAGGACCTGGGAAGCGCCGCGCAAGGCGCCGGCGGCGCGGGAGGAGCCCCGGCCCTCTAGAGCCGGCAGCTCCGCCCCCTCCCCGGGCGCTGCGGGCCGTCTGCTCCGGCCCTGCGCGGCGGGATCTCCGGGCCGCACAGAGAGAGGAGGCCGGGCGCAATGGCCAGGGGCCCGCAGTCCCGGCGCGGCCCCGCGACGCCCGGGAGCGCCCTGCGCGCCCTGCTACGCTGCAACCTGCCCCCCGGCGCCCAGCGCGTGGTGGTTTCCGCTGTGCTGGTGTTCCTCGTCCTCATCAATGTTGTGCTGATATTCCTGCTGGCCTTCCGCTGAGCCAAGCAGCCCACCCGGTGCCGTGCCGTGCCGTGGGGGACCGCGCTGTGGTGAGTGGCTCCGGGTTTGCATGCCAGCAGCTGTCACCCCTAGCCTCCGCACCGGGATCTGGGGAGATAAGGCCTTCGGCCACCCATGTGCTCAATAACAAGGCCTGGTTTTGGGTGGTACCGGTAGTGCCACCATGTGGGTGACAGGGGCATGGTGGCACACATCCATGGGGGGCGGGGGTCCAGTCTGTCCTCTGTGCTGTGATGCGGCGTGGGGGAGCTAAAATGGCGCATCTCTGTGAATAACTGGGGGTAGGTATGGACACAGCTGTAGCAGGGCTGGCTATAGTTGTCAGGAAACTGTGTGCATTAGACCACTGGATGAGCAGAACTGGGCATGTACTGTGTGTGTGTGTGTGTGTGTGTGCGCGCGCTTGCGCTTTGAGAGCTTTGTGAAAGATACCTGGATACTTCAGCAACCTGCAGTTGCTGTTCCCGTTTTAGGCCTTAAAATAAGTAGTGCCAGTCAACCTCCCTAGGGGCAGGGCCCCTGCTACTCTTCTTGAGATGTAGACATTCCTGTTCAGGTAGACATTGAACAGGAATACCAGTGCAGGGGAGTCCAGACTGTCACTCCCAGACTATACATTGTAAAGCCACCACCACCTTGCAAGAGAAATAGACGGGAGGCAGGATGGGAAGGGTGACAATGGTCATGGGGGGGGGGCAATATTAGGCAGAGCCTGGCAATATTGCTCATCCCAGGGCCAGTCAGAACCTCAAAAATATAGGAAGGGATCCTGCTCCTGCCCTGGCTTGCCTTAGTCTTGAACTTGCCCCTCCACATAAACATCCCTGTGCCTCAAAGTCTACCTCTGCATTCTCCTGCCAGGTGGGGGCCAGCCTGGAGTCCTATCCCCTGGGTCCTGCCAGGCTGGAGTGTTAGCTTCAGGGACAACTGCACCTAGGATAGAGCACCGGAAAAGGTCTGTGCCCAGAAACCATCCTCTGCCTGCAGGTGAGGCACATCTGATGTCCTAGGAAACATGTCTCTGACCTCTTTGAATCACATTGTGTCTTGGTGAAATCGCAGAAATTGCTAATGTCAGTACTATAACTTGTTAGAGTACTTCTGGTTTTGGGCCACTGACAGGAGGCGTGGGGAGGTTGGAGAACTTGTTCACAACCATGTGTCTTTCAGGTGCCCTGTGTACACAGTTCTAAGACAAGGAAGCAACAAAGGTGGCTAACACCTCCCTACCCCCACTTCTGGGCAGGATAGGCATGGGGACATGCCCCTGTTGGTACCTGTCACCCGGTTCTCGCTGTGAAGCCTTGCCTCTTTAGATCCCCAACTCCTTCCATAGCTTCCCCAGGAGTTATGAAGGAAACAGCCCATGTAATATCCACACCGGTCTGCAAGGACTGCTGAATAGAGGAAAGGACCAGACTGGCTTTTGCTCAGGGCTCATTTGAAGGGATCTGGGGACAGAGGGAGACACCTCATCCAGTTAAGACAAAGCAGGAACCACCTAGTAGAAGAATCAGTGGGAATTGGGTTGCATTGAGTGTCTGGGTTACTCCCCCAGGTCAGGCCCATTCACCTGCATTCTCACAAGACTCACCTATATCACCGGGGGTGTCCACTTCCTCCTTTCTCTTGAGCCACATCCTTCTAGACCTTGCATAAAAGCCTGCTTGTCAAAGGTACACTGGCTCTACACGTGCAGCCAGCTGGCTTTCATATGGTTGCGCCGAGTCCCTGTTTCATCCCATCTGTGTTGCAGCCAGGCCCACGTGCAGGTCATTATAGCTGGGCATGAGGGTAAAGGTCTAAAGACTGCTGCTCCCAGGAATAACCCAGTGCTGTATGCCTGGGGTCCCCACATAGGCCTTGGGAACGGTCACTGCATTGTGAGGGTACATTTGCACATGGGCTTGCAGATTATTCTGAGGAGAGGTGTCATCAAGTGTGCAGGTGTCACCTTCAAGAAAGAGTAAGAACCAGTGGTGGGGCCTTCCCTGAACTTGCCTGCTCAGGACCTCCCCTGGAAGGCAGCTCCTAGCCTGAGTGGGCTTCTGTGCTGCAGTGGCAGCCTACCACTCACCCTACCCACATAGGCACAGATGCCTCTTGGACAGTGACTGGAACTGGGGTGGATGTACCGGCAGTCCAGCTGAAAGGTGTAACCCTGCTCTTGGTTCCCATGACCATGGGAGGATTAGCATGCACACAGCCCTGGATGCACCTAGGGAAGCCAAGGGAGGGCTCACCGTGGGTGGAGAGCAGCTAAGCGGGAGTGCTTGGTGCAGAAGGCCAATCTGGGGATGCTCCAATTCTTCCTTGATTGTTTAGCTGTACAGTGGCAGTCCTCAGTTCTATGCAATTCCCAGCCCACCCCTCCTCTACTGCCCTAATACTACTGGAGCCATTCATCATTCATGGAGTACAAACAGGGTCCACATTACAGAAAAGCAGGTATCAGCCCAATGGGAAACAAATCCACAGGCAAGGGCTGCCTGGTTGTGATGTATCAGTCCACAACCACTTAGGAGAAAAATATCATAGGTTATTGAGCAGAGAATAACCAACGCAGAGAATTGTCAACCGGGTAAAAGTGGTTGACTTGGTGACAAAGCACACAAGAACACCAGAGACATCTATGATAGCAGCTGCAACACACACCTACTTTTTTTTTTTTAATTAGTTTTTAGTTGTCAGCACCTTTATTGTATTTATTTATTTTTATGTGGTGCTGAGGATCAAACCCAGGGCTTGGCATGTGCTAGGCGAGCGCTCTACCACTGAGCCACAACCCCAGCCCCCACATACCTACTTCTAAAGCTAGGAAATAAAGGAAAACGGTTGGAATGAGTAAAATGTGGATGCGTAGGACTCTGAGGAGAGGTGCTGCTCAGCTGATGTGGGTGTCTGAACTGTGGTTGAAGGTGGGTTGGAAGCGGAGAGGCAACTGCTCCAGCACCTGCTCAGCAGGGGTGTGTTCAAGTTCACTTTTGGCTCTACTATTGAGCCCTGATAGCCTCAACTTGCTCAGGGCACAACCCTGCTGTCAAAGAGCTGCCGGCTGGGAGGTCAGGATCTCTTTTTCCCAGGGCAGTTGAGGGTGAGGATAGACAACAGGAGCGCTGAGCCTGGCCCTAACCCCATGAGGCCCAGGGTAGCTTTGCCCCACTGACCCACCTGCCATGGCTCTCTCCACAGCTCATCAGTGATGGCAGTGTGGTCTGTGCTGAAGCACTCTGGGACCATGTCACCATGGACGACCAGGAACTGGGCTTCAAAGCTGGGGACGTCATCGAAGTGATGGATGCCACCAACAGAGAGTGGTGGTGGGGCCGCGTTGCCGACGGCGAGGGGTGGTTTCCAGCCAGCTTTGTGCGGGTATGGTTCCAGCCTGTGCTTCTGCCTGACTCGTGAGGAACTACTTGGCTCTGCTCAGAAATCCAAGCCCAAGCTGGACATGGTAGCTCATGCTTATAATCTCAACTACTCAGGAGGCTGAGGCAAGAGGATCACAAGTTTGAGATAAGCCTGGGAAACCTAGCAAGACTCTGTCTCAAAATAAAACTTTTTAAAAAGGGCTGGGGATGTAGCTTAGTCGTAGAGTGCCCCTGGTTCAAGTCCCATTACCAAAATCATTATCATCCAAGCTCAAAATAGCTCTGGGGTCCCCCTCTCCAGTTTGTTGGTACCTGGTGCCTTGGGCTGGATGGGTGGGTGTCAGAGAGCTGTGACACAGCCCTGCTCCTCCTACAGAGCCACTACCTCCTCTGTCCCCTGCTGCTAATGCTTTCCTGCCGAGCCCTCAGGCCAGAGAGAACAGTGTGATGATAGTATATGACTCACAAGGGGAATGTGCATGGTAGAATCCCATCACCAGGAAGAACTTGATTTACCAGGCCTTTATGAAGCACTACAGAACATTTACATGGATCATCTCACTTAACACTTATCTAGCTCTGGGAGGTAGGGACCTGAGGAAACCAAGGCATGAAGTCGCTAAGAGGTCACAGGGAGGGGACACAGGTCCCACCTAAGGTGACCTCTGGTCTCCAAGGGAAAAATCCAGGTGCGATCTCCAAAGGGCCAGGCTGAGGGCAGCCAGAAGGGAGACCTCATGCCCTGGTGTTCAGGTGTGTCTTCCTGCCCAGGACTCTCAGGTAAACTGTCTACTCTGAGCCCCAAGTCTTTCCTTAAGTTACAGGTTTGAACGAGCAAGACCACACCACCTACCCAGTGTAGTCAGCCCCCACACGGCCTAGTATGGCAAGTGCTGGTTCAGAAACCCCTGGCACATTTTCAAGCACTGTGCTAAGCACCAAGTTGGGGTGGGAGGCTTCAGGGGGAACATAGGGTCTGCCAAGGCTGCCCCAGTGGTCTTGGGATAATATCGGTGCCCCTTGGTGCAAAACAAAGCAAACAAAAACCCCAAACCCAAAACAGCTCTGGGGTCCCAGGTGGCCTCACTTCCCATCTCCCATCTGCTGCAGTTAGACCTGCTGTCCCCATCCTGGCCTTGTACAGCAGTTATAGGAGATTCCGAGCTAGCTCAGGACCATCGCAGGTCCTCTGAGTCTCAGTTCCCCACTGCCACTGTGCAGTGTACAGAGACTGACTCCTAGAGCCACCACAGGGCACTGACTGACTTCGGGTTGCCTGCAGCTACGGGTGAACCAGGATGAGCCCACAGATGAGGAGGCCCCACAGACTGGCGACGGCAAGGCTGAAGATGGTGGGACAGAGGCACAGAGCAGCAAAGACCAGATGCGGACAAACGTCATCAACGAGATTCTCAGCACCGAGCGGGACTACATCAAGCACTTGCGTGACATCTGTGAGGTGAGCAGGGACCCAGCTTGTGAGTGAGGCAGGGAGGGAAGAAGGACGGAGACAGAGCTCTGACCACCCCTGTCCCCACCCCCACAAGGGCTACATCAGGCAGTGCCGCAAGCGTGCAGACATGTTCAGTGAGGAGCAGCTGCGCACCATCTTTGGGAACATCGAGGACATCTACCGCTGCCAGAAGGCATTTGTGAAGGCCCTAGAGCAGAAATTCAATAGGGAGCGCCCACACCTAAGCGAGCTGGGCGCCTGCTTCTTGGAGCACGTGAGCAAGCCCTGGATTCTCCATCTGGATCCCTAAGCCCTGCCTGTCTAGCACCTCTCTCTCTGCCAGGGACGCTTCCTCTCCCCACACACCCTGGCCTTTTATTTTCACCTCTCTTTGCACCTGGCTCCCTTCTCCAGCCCAGGCAACCTGCTATTGCTGTTCTCCCAGAAGCTTCCAAACATCTGTGCACCAGGCCCCAACCTGCTCCTCTTGCTCTACAACAGTCTTAGAAGGGTCTCTGCTTTTGGGTGGGGGGAAATCACCGTCATCAAAGGGGAGTCTCAGGCATCAGTCAGGAAGAATTTGCTTGGGCCAGACAGGAAGGCAAAGATGTGTCCAGCCACCTATTTAGTGCCCCAGGGAAAGTTCTGGGGTTCCTCAGATAGTGGGTAATCTAGAATTTGTGTGGCCCACATCCAGTGTAGATGCCAGATGCCCAAAGGTTCATTGACTTGGTCTGGAAAGATTCCAGCCTCACCTGAAAGCACAGAAATTTGTTTTATCCCTGTCCTGGGCAAACTCACAGGGTTAAGCAAAGGATGTCTGTCTCTCTACCTTCCAGCCTCTGCCCCACTCATCTTTTGGCCTTAATAATAGCCCTTCCTTATTAGCACCACTGATTTCATTTAAAAAAAAAAAAAAAGTTGAAGTTTCTACTGAGGGCTTTGCTGAGAAAGCTGGGTGGCAGCAGGCAGGAGCACGCAAGTCCTCTCGGGATCTTCCCATCCTTGGATGTGATTCCACATACCTGTGCCCAGTTAAGTAAGTGGAGAGTGCCTGGTGTCCCCTGAGACCCGACTCCTAAAATAAATCAGAGGCTCTTTACTCTCAGGGACCTGGGGCTTTGGCTGATTGCCTGGGGGAGCAGGAAGACAGCCATCCTAATCTCCAGCTGTGCCCTTACAGCAAGCAGACTTCCAGATCTACTCCGAGTACTGCAACAACCACCCCAACGCCTGCGTGGAGCTGTCCCGGCTCACCAAACTCAGCAAATATGTGTACTTCTTTGAGGCCTGCCGGCTGCTACAAAAGATGATCGACATCTCCCTGGATGGCTTCTTGCTGACTCCAGTGCAGAAGATCTGCAAGTATCCACTGCAGCTGGCTGAGCTGCTCAAGTACACCCACCCTCAGCACAGGTAGGAGGCATGAAGCAGGGAGGTAGCCTGAGGTTATGCACCAGTCAGTTTGTTAAGCACTTGGGGTGTGCTGGGTTCTGCTGTAGGTACTGGACAACACACCAAATAAAACAAGCAATGTCCTCAAAGAGCTACCACCGCAGTGGGGGGAAGAGAATCATCAAGAGGATATTAAGGGGCTGTAGCTCAGTGGTAGAGCACTTGCCTCGCCTATGTGGGGCACTGGGTTCAATCCTCAGCACCACACATATTGTGTCCATCTACAACTAAAAAAATAATTCTTTTTAAAAAGAGGATATTAAGCTTAATATTCAGGAGGAGAGAGATTGTGCATTTGACCAGTCAGACATGGCAAGAGGAACAGCCCCAGGAAGAGTCAGCTCCACCCAGGGGGCTGTGGGAGACTCCTACATCTCTCTGCTCTCCAGCCTGCAGTGCCCTTCCATCTCTGTTCTGCCACAGGGACTTCAAGGATGTGGAAGCTGCTCTGCATGCCATGAGGAATGTGGCCCAGCTCATCAACGAGCGGAAACGGAGACTTGAAAACATCGACAAGATTGCTCAGTGGCAGAGCTCCATAGAGGACTGGGAGGTGAGGGCCCCAGGGCCCAGAAAACACTGCTGGGTCTTTGCTTGAAAATTGTGCTAATCCCTGAAAAGTCTGGGAGCAGAATCAGAGAGCCAGGCTCTTGAAAGCAAGCACTCATGGCAGAAAAGCAGGTTCTCTTGTACAGACACAGGGTCTTTGGTGCTGCCCGGAGCCAAGCTTTAACACCTGGTGGCCCCCTTCCTGTGAGGTAAGACAGTCCTCCCAAAAGCCACCACCAGCCAGGAGAAGCCCTAACAGAAGAAGCATGTTTTTTCTAAACTATATCTATTCCTCAGGGAACAGATTACATCACTGAGTTTTATTGAACTTTTGGGGCTCCCAACAGTTGGATTTAGGCCCCAAAGTGTGACCAGAAATGGATCACTACCTATCAGGGTTCCCTAGTTCCATTTTTATGACTTGCATATTCCCCAGGTAACTGCCAGCCTTGCCTTCTAAGGGAACAGGAAGGCCTGAACTGATAACATTCCTGCTCCCCAGAGCCGTGGAGGGTTTTGCCCTTCCACCACCAGCCACTCTACCTCATCCGGAGGCTCTGCTCCTGTCCACACAGTGGCACTGTGCCAGCTGTCAAAGGAATTATCTGAAAATCAATATAAATCAGCCACAGAACGTTATAAGATAGATTTCTGGGCCCCACCCTTGACCTACTGAATGCAAATCCCTAAGGAGCAGCTGGGCAATGTGGTCTAGTGGTTCAGAGGCCCAGCCTTGGCTAAGGACCCATACAAGTTCAGTCATCCCAAACTGAATGGTTGCCAACAGCTGGCTGGGATTTGTACTCTCATAGAATTGGAAAGGGACAGGACGTAGAAAGTTGAAAGTTCCAGTGATGGAATTTCAGGTACTAAATACACATAGCTGAGAAAAGGACCTTCTTTAGACTCCTAAAGACTAGCTACAGAGGTGAATTCCAGCCAGCCTAATTTTTTCACTAGGGCAGAACCATCTAATCAAAAGTGTGAGCCACATGTGTAATTTTACACTTTCTAGTAGCCATCTTAAAAAAGAAACAGAAAAAACTGATTTCAATGTTGTTTAACTCAGTATATCCAAAAGAGCATTTCCACTTGTAATCAACACAAAATATCATTGAGATATTGTACATTGTTTCATATTAGTCTTAAAACTCAGTGTGTATTTTATACTGACATCTCAATATGAATTAGCCACATTTTCAGTGCTGAAGAGCCACATGAAACCACTATTTTGCAAGGATAGCCAGCTCAGGTTAGATCCTTCCGCCTTTTTCATTCCCCTTCAATAGTCCCCACCTTTGGGACCAGAATACTTCTTAGGCTTCAAGAGCACCCAGCCTCCCTTGACCTGGCCCAGTGGAAACTAGTGGGAATACACCCACCCACCCACTACAGAGGCAGGAAATAGAGCCCAAGGTTGAGTGTGCTCTTCTCATGCCTCTCCTTGGGGACCCCCAGGGGGAAGATCTTTTGGTCCGAAGCTCAGAACTCATCTACTCGGGGGAGCTGACTCGTGTTACACAGCCCCAAGCCAAGAGCCAGCAGAGAATGTTTTTTCTCTTCGACCACCAGCTCATCTACTGTAAGAAGGTACCGGCATCACTCTGCCCTGCTGGATTGGCCCCACAGAGCAGGTGGAGAGACTAAAGCCAAGGGCTGGGAGCAACTACCCCGAGAAAGGGAGACTGGCAGATCCTACACTGGCCATTCCTCATTCCTGGGAGGAATGGTCAGGCCCATAGGGCTGGGAGATGGTGAGACCACAGGATGGCTCTCAGTCCAGTCAGGGCCCACCCAGTACTGTTAAGAATGCCCTCCTCCTGACCTGGCCCCTGCCTGATCCTCAAGTCACCTATTTATTCTCCTACTATAAATCTCTGCTTCTCCTTGTGACCCCAGAGGTCCTTTGCGGTATCCTCCTCCCGGCCTCCTCTGCACTGCTGGCCTAGAAGCCCCCATCCATGCAGTTCTCCTTGTCCACTGTACTGTGCCCTATAGGCCACTGTCTTAGTTTCTATGTCTATCTGTCTTCCCACCAGACTATACAGTTCAAAGACAGGGCTGCCCCCTGCCCAGTTAGTAGCTGGGCATTGAAAGGGCAGGCTCCTCCACTGGTGGTTCAGCAGTCATAGGTCACAAAAGGCCCCCTCTGCCTTTAGGTGCTCACCATCTGCTGGGGAGGTGGCTGGGGGCAGACAAGGGACATGGGCAGGTGAACAGGTGGGCAGCCAAAGCTCAGGGCAGCATCTGGCAGGACCTGCTTCGCCGGGACGTGCTATACTACAAGGGCCGGCTGGACATGGATGGCCTGGAGGTGGTGGACCTGGAGGATGGGAAAGACAGAGACCTCCACGTGAGCATCAAGAACGCCTTCCGGCTGCACTGCAATGCCTCAGGGGTCAGCCACCTACTATGTGCCAGGAAGCCTGAGCAGAAGCAGCGCTGGCTCAAGGCCTTTGCCAGGGAGAGGGAGCAGGTGCGGCTGGACCAGGAGACAGGTGCGAGACCCTGCTGGGCCTTGCCCCACCTCTAGGGCCGACCTGGCCCTTTTGCCTGGCCTAGCTGCCTGGCAGTCAGAATCACCTTGATAAAGTGAGGCAGTGTGTTTCATCCAGGAGTTTCAGGGCTCCAGGAATCTCTTGGTCCTAGTAGTAAGCAAGGCCACCCTCACTCTACTGGCAGGAGTGGCCCTTTCTCAGTAGACGGCCCCAGAACACGGGTCTGCTGGCCTGCATGGGGTAGAGTGGATGTTGCTTCACTGCACAGACTTGCACATGTACCCATGAACATGCTCTAAAGCCAGCTGGAACCCTGAGGAAACATGGAGGGGAAGGTGGGTAATAGCCTCCAGAATCCTCCCCTGCCCCATGAGAATAAGCTTCTCCCCCTCCTATTCACTCAGTGGCCAGGTTGCTCTTGGTAGAAGAAAGAGCATCCACCTAGACACTGCGCAAAGTGAGGGCCAGACATCAGGTAAAGGCAAGAGATGTGGGGCACAGTGGGAGGACTCGGGGATCTTCATTCTCTGCCATAGTTGGCAGGGCCAGCTGACTGAGCAGGACAAGGAACAGCCCTTGCTATATTAAGGGCACAAACCCTGAGGCATATGGGAGCAGAACACTAGGAAGACTGCACCCAGGCAGGGGAGGAGGAGGATATGGGTCCTTATGTATACCTCCCCCCAGGCTTCTCCATCACTGAACTACAGAGAAAGCAGGCCATGCTGAATGCCAGCAAGCAGCAAGCCACAGGGAAGCCCAAAGGTAAGTGGACAGTAGACCCACCTATGGACAGCTCTGTCATTGATTACATCTTTGTCTGGCCCCCAAAAGCAAAGCCACCTAAATACCAGGTTCCCAGAGGTGCCCACTGCCCTTTGTAGGTATTATGTTCCCAAAGGTTGGTGATAAGGGGAAGCTTGGGTCAGTACATTGTTCTTTATCTTGACCCCTCTGACCTCAGCATTGTGGCACCGTTAATGTCAGTGCTTTTCTTCCCTAGGCTGCTGACAGGCACCCTCACAGCTACCTTCCCCCTTGCTATAGAAAGAGCCAACATCACATGCCTTAGAAGGGCCCCTGGTCATCTATCATCTCTGAAGGCTGCAGTAGGTCAGGGCCAGGCCAGAGGCTCCAGGCAGACTGGGCCCCAGGATGTGGTCAACCCCTTGGGAAACAAATCCTATGTGGCAGAACTGAGGTTCTGGAACAGGCCCTTCTGCCTTCCACCCTGTGCCACCTGACGCTGGGGCACCCATGACCCTGCTGTTTCTCTTTGCCTAGGCGTAGGCCGGCCCTGTTATCTGACACGCCAGAAGCACCCATTACTGCCTGCCAGTCGGCCCCAACAGCAGGTCTTGGTGCTGGCAGAGCCCAGGCGGAAGCCGTCCACCTTCTGGCACAGCATTAGCCGGCTGGCACCCTTCCGCAAGTGAGCCAGTACCCACCTGACAGCACTTTGTGGACCTGCCCATCCTCAGCCCCCAGCTTTTCCTCCTTGAGGACCACTCCATCTGGCCATCCTTCTCTGCCTATCTTGCAAACTGGAAGTGTGCAGGTGTTGGTGCCCCCAGGGCACACCAGGTTTGTGCTCCCATGCTTGGTTTCTTCCCTGCTGCTGGTGAATGAAGTGACCAGCTGGGAGAGGCAGGGCCCTGGCACATACAAGCCCCTCCTGCAGCCTGACCTCTGACCCTCTCCCCTTCTGTCCACACTATGGACCTGTGTGAGGCCTTCACTAACCAGGAGCCGGGAAGCCACCGCTCAGAACCACTTACCAGGCCGGGGTGCAGAAGGCACTAGCTGCTTTGGACCCGCTTCTTTGGAAATCTAATCATCCCCACTCCTGTTTCCTCCAGGCAGGAGAGACCTACTCTATGGCCAGTGGCCACCTACAAAGCTGGGCTGTGTCCCTTCAGGCCACTTGCAACCTTGGAGTACAGGAACCAGAAATTCTCTACCCAAATATCTGGCCCAGACCTGCCCTTTTACCTCCCAGCCCCTCTAGACATTGTTGGTCACCCTCTTCACTCGTGATGTTGTGTAGTGGGAAGAACAAAAACATATAGTCAGCCACATACTTTGGTCGGGGTTTTGTGACCATTCCATCTGTAGCTGTGGGGTTGCTGCAGAACCACCTGGTTCCTGTTTTTGTTGGGGTTTTGTCCTCTTGTTTTTCTAACAATGAAGAAAAACAGTTAATCGTTGTGACACAGAAAGATTGCCTTACCCTAGTGAGCGTGAGAAGCCATAAGGACTGAATTCTGGGGCCAACAGCATCCAGACTGACCCGACCACTCCAGGCAATGGACATGTGGCGAGGGCACCCACATCCTGCCCAAGGGCGCCAGGAGCACAGCCAGGCCTGGCATGTCAGTGTGGAACCCTACAGGATTCAGCAGCATGGACAGTCACTCTTGCACTATACCTTCTCCAAGCCAGAAGCCACATTTAATTTCATAAAGAAACTTGTGAAAAGTAATCTGGCTCCAGCCATTGCGTTCTGTTGGTGTGTGCGTTTTCTCGTGTGTGTGTGCACCTGTTCTTTCTGTGCCTGGGCTTTCCCCAGAGACAAAGAATGAGCTGGGGGCATGGTGGCGCGTGCCTATAATAATCCAGCAGCTCAGGAGGCTGAGGCAGAAGGATTGCAAGTTCAAGACTAGCCTCAGCAACTTAGCAAGGCCTTAAGCAACTTAGACATTGTCTCAAAATAAAAGCATAAAAAGGGATGGGGATGTGACTCAGTGGTGAAACCCCGGAGTTCAAACCCTGATATTAAAAAAAAAAGGAATACCATGAGCCAAGAAATTCCAGAGGTATGGGGTAGGGGTGGCTCTATTGAAGACTGGGGTCAATGCTGCAGAGGCCAAGGATTGCTGGGAGGACAGTCTGCAAGACCTGGAGGTCCATTCCTTCCCTGACTGCTCAGCTGGAGCTGGCATATATGACTTTGAGGGACTGAGGTCCACCATCTTTCTGGGCCTCAGCATTCTCCCTGCTGAAATGGGGAAGGATATGAATGACTTCCCAGGTGGACCCTGGCTACAGAAGCCAGAAGAGGAGCCCGAACTGCCTCCTTCCCAAACCACCTGGTAACAGTCCCTCAATCCACTGCCTCCAAGGGGTTGAAGACCACATGACCTTCCCAAAACCCCTAGCAGTCTCCTAACTTGTGGAAAGATACAGCACCTCTCTATTAGGCCAAGCTACCTCTAAACAAAACCTACAATGAAAAGAATCATGAAAACCAAAATATGCAACACAAGTCAATCTTTATTGAAAACTGCAGTATTAATACATAACAATTCTTGTTACAATAAACGTGCTTTAAGAATTTTAAATCTGAGCTCATCTACTCATCAGATTGCATAAAAAATTAAAATAGTATGAATTTACACCTAATTGAACTGGCTCAGAATGGATGGTCCATTCCTTTTTATTGACACGTAAGTTCAATGCAGAGGCGAGGGATGCCTTAACACTGGAAGACAATGCTGACTTAAGCTTAAAAAAAGTACCAAGAGAACAGTGTAAAAAACAGTATTTAAAAATCATTTAAAAAAAAGGGGGTGCGGGACAGTTTCCTATTCAGTTACAGTCCATGAGCCTCCTTGGGGCCTTTCCTTCAAGTGGTCATCACAGCAACCCTGTTAAGAGCAGTCTCAGATCTGGCCCAACTAGTTTATTCTACGGCCCACCGCTCTGCACCAGAACCCATAGTGCCACCCTAGCCAAGGAGCTGCCTGCTGCACCACTCTGGGACATCTCACCCTGCCTGAAGTATATCAGGACTCCCTGACAGAGATGTCACTCTTCTCCCGGTCCCAACTGACTACACTTTATTTAATCCTGCTTATCCTATATGTTTTTCATTTTTCAAATGATTGGGAGTGGGGAAAAGAGACAAACCCTCTAAACCATGCAAGACCAACTTTGCAGTTTCCACCAAAGCCACATCCACCTCAGAGTGTCATTTGCAGTGTATCTGAAGGTCAGCCACCCTTCAGTAAGCTCAGGTGGAGTAAGCAGCTCAGAGAAAACAGACATAAACCTGGGAGATGTGCTAGGCAGAAGAGCTGAACTCTGCTCTCCCTGAAGCCAACCTCACTCCTAAACTTTAGAGATCCTTTTAGAAAGCACCAGAGAGAAGGACCAGCTGCTGTCCCTCCTGCCACTGCACCCATGAGAGACCCTAGGCTGTGTGGGCAGTGCTAGGCCAACAACAGCTAGAGCAGCGAATGCTGCCGGATAAAAAGGTGGCCCAACTAATCAGAGTAATACTGTTTTCAAATGTTCGTAAAGGAGAGGTGACATTTGAGCTCCCTCTGTAAAGGAGTTCCAATATTTACACAGCTGGTGCATGGCAGCTTTTTACCACTCCCCAATGGCACATGAAGCCCATGGGTACACGAAGCCCACGTTGGGACAACACTGCCAGATGCCAGGGCATTCCAATGTATTTCCTATCACTGACATGTCCCCCAATAAACATGCAAATTACTTCCTAGACCTCCTCTGTCACAGCAGGATAAAGCTACCAGATGAAGCAAAGCATAGATGCCTTGCTGGGGAAGGGCAGGACACTCTAGAGGCCAGGGACCCAGCTCAGGGCTGGGGACCTCTCTACCTCCTATGAATACTACATTTGCATAGCACACAAGAAATGTCACCCAATAGCAATTCATAGGCCTAATAACCACATCATCAAGAATGTTCTTGAAAGATGGACCACAAGAGACATAAAAGGTTCTGGAAGAGCTTATGTGCCTGTTACCATGATTGGCTCGGGCCCCAAAGGTGTCCTCACCTCAGAATCAAGAAGCTCATAGATAACTCAACTCTAAACACTCAGCTTCCAGACCACATCCAAACTAGATTTCTATGAGCAGAGAGGAACAGCAGCTACAAAGCTGATGAACACATCTTCCACACCTCAGGGGAGAAAAGAATAAACATTTTTTTATATTCATAATGACATCCATGTTTACAGGAATTAGGTCCTTTGTTTGCCTGTTTCAGTTACTAAAAAAGAACAATAATTCAGCTGAAGAACACTCAAATAAGGAATGTCACATACACAAAAAGCAAAATTTCAGGGAATGTTCCACAATATGCTTGCGATAACAAATTATACAGCTCTGTAACAGAATACTGACCCAGGTTCTAGCCCTTAATTAATTTTACTAGAACTGAATGTTTTAAAAATTACAACCTATGACAGTTTTGGTACTACTCAAATTCAGATTCTTATCTGACAGATAAACTCTCTTTAACAACATATTTCATAAACTGATGAAATGATAGTGTCAAAATGGGAAAGATTTCTACTAGATATATAATGCCAAAGTATCTGATAGTCTCTTAGTTCAACTTCACAAAAGGGAAAAAAAGATTTTAAAATAATTTTAGAGAAGCAAAATGTTTATTAAGCTGATGTACACAGGGGAAGGGGATGCAACCCACTTTTCTTTACCCTTCACCTTACTGCTTGTGGAAACACCCTGTGTTTGCCGGCCTCACACAGGTCTGGAGATAGTTCATGTAACTTCTTAGGACTTCCTCCAGAATGCATATGACTCTGCCCCTTATAGGCACAGGGAATGTACATGTTTCCATTTTTGTGTGGGGCTTTGTTAAAGCATACACTAAAGTTATGAATATTGTTCTACTCATATATTACCACTCAATTTGGGAAAACTGCCTTCTCTGTCAGTTAAGTCCCTGAAACCCTACTGATATTGCAAACCAATACAATTACCAACACATATTTGTGGAAATGGACACAAATTATGTGCCTGGGGTACATGTCTCTCTCTCTCTCTCTCTCACACACACACACACACACACACACACACACACACACAAGTTAAGTGCTCACAAAGCGATTTAAAGTACTTATCAGTAAACATTCTATGTTAATAGACATTAGGAATAAGGAATCTTCTGTTTACAATGATCCATGCAAAAATATTCCTAAACTTCTTACAAAATAAATGTGGAAAAAGAAAATGAAGAGTACGCACTATAAAAAATAAGATTACCAAAGGCTCAGTGGTCAGGTATTCCACCTACCAGCCAGGCTGACCGCTAACAGTGACCTCCACCCGAGTGCCAGAGCCCTGACCTAGCTGCCTGAGAAGCAGCACAGAATCCTCTCTCAATCAAAGTCCACAGCATTCCAAACAAGGATGGGGTGGGAAAAGGATGAACTTCCATCTCTGCCTGACAGACCCCTGAAAAAGAGCAAGTCTTCATACCTCCACCCTTCTGACCCTCACTGAAAACAGACATGCACTCCTACTGATGGAAGTTGGGCATTTGGGGGAGGGGGGGGGGGGGTCCTCATGATTTCTTATGTACAATATTCAGATTTTAAACTAAAAATCTTCCCATAATAGATCCTGGCAGGCAAATCATTCCACTGCTACCGGGCCCTTTCTGCCATCCACACTCACTCGGTGCTGAGTGCCTTTAGCTCCAAGAAGAGATGAGATGGCAGAAGAGGCTCACAGACCACGGACACCAACCCTATAAATCTCCTCCAGCTGGTCACAATCAGGTGGACTACTCCAAGACAAGCTACATGATTCTACATTATCAGACATACCCACAGCCTTGCCTCTCTACAAGAAACATGAGGAATTTTAAATAAAGTTTTGTTCCCTTTAAATCATTCTTAAATATACAACTTTCTCTATAACATACAGCTGAAGTCTTTGCCATTCCTTGGGAGCAGGGTGTGGGGACCAATGCCTATAAGTTTTCAACTGACTTCAAACATTTCTGGGGAAGGGGGCGATTGGAATGATTTTCTAAGCTAAATAAACCAGAAGGCAATACCTCATCCAAGTGTTTCACATATCTTCCATCCTAGGAAGACAATTTAGTTCTACTCAGGACTTTTTCAATAAAGATATACAAAAAATCTTCCTTCTCTGTAAGAGAACAGTGTAATGGAAATTTAGATGGCAAGGAAAATTGTTTTGCTGATATGTAGAAAACCCCTTTGCCCCTAACTATACTGACCACACAACTCTAATCTTCCATGATGGTCTTGAAGCATGTCCCCTTTCCCTGGACCCTGCCAAGCCTACACAGAAAGAAAGGGATGCCCACTAATTGGCTAATCCCAAACCACAGTGGCCCGCCCACTCTCTCCCCATCCCTGCAGCTCCCTCCCATGCAGTCAGTGCCAAAGAAACAGATCGCTGAAAACTAAAGTCCACATCCAGAAGCGGCAACCTACATCAACCCCAAAAGGTTGAAGAATCACCTAAGGTATTTCAGGTATGCTCTATGAACATATTCACTTTAACACTTATAACTTTAAGACTTTGCATACAACAGTGCATTAGTGAAACAGTTGTAAAATATGTTTCCATTCCTTTGGGTTTTGCATAAGATGGTTTTGCATCAGTCACTGCAGGTAGATTGAGCAAGCTTTGTTTTTGTGTTTGTTTTTTTTTTAAACATGCATTCAACTAGATATGATTCAGAATAGATTAATACTCCCTTTTTATCATTACAGTTAGCTAAAAAATTGCCAGGCAAGTCCACAAAACAGGATTTGCTTTAAGACCAACCCACGGAGTTAGCTGGAGACTAACGGCGCTGGGACCTGCTGGACCGGGACAGTCGTATTTAGCTAAGTGTGAGAGCATTAAGAAGAAAGTCCTGGTTGGAGGCACAAGGCCTGCAGCACCAGCTGTGGAACCTCAATGATGTGACTGCACAGCTCCATCCGCAAACCTAGAAAGAATGAAAGGTACACAGTCATACAGAGTTCTTCTGCCACCACTGTTCTAAAAACTACAAAAGGACAAGATCCAATAGGGTCAAAAAGGGCAGCAGGGCACAAAGGTGCTGGACCTGATTCCCACCCACCTCACAGAGACCCCCCCAGTTACAACCAGAACTCTATCTCCTGCAACAGGCAAGAGGGGGATGCAAGCATATTCCAGGTAAGAATATAGATGCAGTGTAAATAGTAACTACTCAAATGGTTTCCTTCTCTTTATGGAGTTCCAGGAAGATCAAAAACATAATGGGGTTGTGGCTCAGTATAGAGCGCTTGCCTAGCATGTAAGAGGCACTGGGTTTGATCTTCAGCACCAGATAAAACATGAAATAAAGGTATTGTGTCCATCTGCAAATTAAAAAAAAAAAAAACACTACAATTGCTCTTAGATCAAAGGTCAGGTGCATTTTTTTCCTTTGTGCTTAAAACATGAGGTAGGTTTGTCATCCTCCACAGAGAAATGCACTATTGCCAGGGCCCAGTGAGCCTTCACTGATCACTTACATTTATTTGCAGGGTGATCACCACTGAGGGGGCACATAGCTGTAGGTGGGTGTTCCTGGAGCCCGATACGTGGGCACAGTGACTGGGTGAGGGGCAACAGGAGTTGGGGAATGGGCAGTCAGAAGGGTACCTGGAAGAAAGAGCAGCACATCACCCAAAAAGCAGGTCTACATGCTATATACCAACTCCAGTGTGACTTCACACTGTCACTGACATGTAGGCATGTAGGCCTTTGTGAAGAGACAGGCACCTTGGAAGAGGGCACAGTCCTGACTCAGAATAAAGTCAGAACTCTAATCAGATCACCCCCAAAAGAGCTGAAAGATATTTGATAACATGTCTGTAAAAGGGCTTGTGCCACCAACTGTGGTGGTGCATACTTGTAATCCCTGCTACTTAGGAGGCTAATGCAAGGAGGATCACAAGTTCAAGACTAGAATGGGCAACTTGGTGAGACCCTGTCTCAAAATTAAATTAAAAGGGCTGGAGATATAGCTCTGTGTTAAGAGTGCTTCAGTACTGCCAAAAAAATTTAAAAGAATATATAAAAAGGCTTTGGGTCTATTTTTACAGAACATTCAGAAAACTTTTCGTGGGTCAGAAGAACCCCCACCCATTTTTTTGGTTCTGCAGATTGAACCCAGGAGTGCTTTACCACAAAGATACATCCAGTTTTGTTTTTGTGGCGCTGGGGATTGAACCCAGGAGCATGTGCATGAAAGGCAAGCACTCTACTAACTGATATATCTCCAACCCACATCCAGTTCTTTTTATATTTTGAGACAGGGCCTCGCAAAGTTGTGATCCTCCCAAGTCACTGAGAACAGGTGTGCACGCAACTGCCCCAGGCTTTTACAAACATTTTAAATAGTATTATCAGACTTAAACAGAAAATTCTCATATATACAACACAGGTGAACCTTAATTAAGAACATTATATTACGTGACAAAAGGACAAATATTGTAGATGGTCCCATTTCGATGAGAGTATTTAAGAGTTATCAAACTCAGAGACAAAACAAAATGGTAACTAACAGAGCTAGAGAGCAGGTGTACAGCAGTTTAATGGAGTATAGGTATTTAACACATACAGGATATTCAGATTTGCAAGACGAATACCAATGTGAATAGACTTAATATATAAAATTATGGAAAAATTATTAAAAGGGTGAAAAAAAAGAGAAATGTGAAGTGGGATTTCCAAACTACATGAGCTTCTGAGTACATTTCGAAAATGTATTTTTCCTATAACTACAAAAAAATTCAGGGACTATCTGAATTCTTTTGAGGTCAACACTCCTCAAACCTAATGCCATTACTCCCTGTTGCCTGTGCTCACCCTGCCCACCATGGCCTCCAGGACACAGCTTCTGTCTATGTCACAGTCTTCTCTGCTTTGACAGAAAAGTACAGGAAAGCCAAATAAAATGGACATTAAGGTCAGAAATACACAGTATCCCAAAAAGCCTTCTCTTTGGTAGAATTTCCTTATACTGAAGTTGGAAGGTAGAGAAGTGAAATTCCAATCATGGGCCATCAACCCTTAAAGACCAGCAGGTAACTTAATCCCTAAATAGCAAATCAAGCCCCAGGGCTTCCATGGGTCCACAGAGACATGCCTACTCTAGCCTAGTGGTCTCTTCTGCCCTTGGTTTGTTCTCCTGACTTAGAAGAGGACTGGGGAAGTAAAGCAGATAAGCCGAAAGATCTGTGCAAGTAGCTGTTACTTCTATTAACACCAGACCAGCATTCCTAGATACACTGAAATCTTGCCCATTAACTTAACTTGACCTATGAAGCCAGATCACACTAAAGGGAAATATGAAGAGGGCCAGCCCACAAAGTGTTCCTCCTCAAGTTTTATATGCTCACAGTGGTGGAGGGAAGAGTGTCTGGTCACTCACTCCACATCCCTACTGCCAAATGGACTATCCAGCTCACCAACAAAATGACTTAGTCAAATTCAGAAAGTGTTGTTCAGTTATGCTCCACAAGGGAAGCCAGTTGGTTCATCAACTCTTACACCCCATACTCCAGTATCCTCTCAACTGAAAGAAGGGGAAGGAAAGGAAAGGAGTTAAAGTCAAAGGTAACTGTCACTTCTTCAAAGAATCACATGTACTTCACACAACTGCAGCCATGAAAAACTAGAACCAAGAGTCAGAGTATTCATAAGCTTTCCCACACCTTACCCCAGCCTTATGGCACCATAGCACACACACTAGGAATAAGGACTCACCTGCTGACATGGCCATCGTGGTTCCAGCAACCATGCCCATGGTGACCCCATTGCCTCTAGGAGGAGGGATGGGAGCAGGGTACACTGTTGCCGGCATGCCATTGGGCTGCACCACCGTGGTGTGATGGATGACGTGAGGAGGTGCTGCATACAGTGGCTGTGTATAGTACGTGCCTTGCTGTGGGGATAAGGAAGACAACTGCCACAAGGTCCCATAATTTTGGGACCTAATGGAACCAATCCTTCCCACCATGCAGGGCATGTCCAAGCATACCTGTGCGTAAGGGCTCTGCTGGGGATAGGCACTTCGCACGGGGTACACGGCAGTCTGGTAGGGGTTGGGGGAAGAAGAGTATGGCGGCACGGCCCCGCTGGTGGGGGAACAGGACACTTTGTAAGGTGTGCCAGGAGTGTAACCTGTAACAAAAAAGCCCATGCCTGAGTTCATGTGGGACCATGCCAGGCATGGGGGAAGGACATGTGTAGGGTGGAGGCAGGTGTCATCTCAACCACGAACAGTGTAACACAGTCAAGATTCAACACCACTACAGTCCCCTCTCTTCTCTACTGACACCAAGCTCCATTTTTTGGCTTTGTGTGCAACTGAAGTGGGGGGGGGGGGGTTGCTGAAGAGGAGAAAGTTCTATAGAGCATATACTCACACAAGAACAGGAAATTAAATACTGTCCTGACCCACCAGAATATAAATTAGTACAGCCTTCCTGGCCACTCAATTTGGCATTTAAAGTACATATGTATTTTAATCCCACAATTAGCTGTATAAATCTACCATAAAGAAATAAGCACATATACACAAAGACATAACTTAGAAAGCACACTAATCTCTGGTATTACAGCAAAAACAAAAGGAGAAATTTATCAAACATCAGGGATTGGCTTAGCACCCTACAGTAGAAAAACTTTTGGATCAAAGGAACAGATTGAACACATACACTTACTTGTTCCCACCCAAAATGACATGAAAATGATTATAAAACAAAGACAGACCAAGAATGAAAGTAAAGGCTGGGCGTGGTGGCACACGCCTGTAATCCCAGCAGCTTGGGAGGCTGAGGCAGGAGGATCACGAGTTCAAAGCCTGCCTCAGCAAAAGCAAGGCAATAAGCAACTCAGTGAGACCCTGTCTATAAATAAAATACAAAAAAGGGTTGGGGACACGGCTCACTGATCTGCCCGAGTTCAATCCCAGGTACCACCACCACCCCCGCCCACTAAAAAAAAGAATGGAAGTGAAGAAAGCGTTTAAATCTAAAAAGCTACACTCCATCAGTATTGAGAATAGTCTGATCATAGGACACCACCTGTCCTGGGAACTGCAGGACACCAACTTGTTTCCAGAAGCTGGTGAAGGCCTCTAATGGGGAAGAAGGGCTGTGAATCTACTGAGTGACCATTAGGTGTCTGGCTCCCCTCCTGATCCTCTACCCCAACAGATTTGCTCTCAGGTCTGGCGGAGAGGGCCTCTGGCTTACTATGCTCACAGCAGCTTTATTCAACTGCCAGGACGCTATAAATAGCCCACATGTCCACCAGCATACAGACAAACTGATACATCCACACATCAAGACACTGCTCAGCAACCAAAAGGAACAAACTACTGAAAACAGACAACATAGATGAGTCTTAATATCACTATATTAAGCAAAAGAAGCCAAAATAAGAATACATGTTATATGCATCTGATAGTAAGCACCAAGAAAGATAAATCAAAATCCACAATAATAGAAAACCCACCAGTTGTGGCCAGGGGCAGAGGGGCACATGTACCTTTCGGAACCGTGTAGTCACCCAACTATAGTGGTGATGTAAAACCCTATACAACTATCCAAACACACCAAGGTACACAGTAGAAAGGACAACTTCCAGTACAGGTAAACACTATCTCTGCAGAAGCTATTTCTAACATGACCCTAATGACATTCACATTCCCATCAGTGTAATGTGAGGCAGGGAGCAATCACACTGTCACAAAGTATAAAATCTCAAACCACAAACACACTTACCACAGCACCCAGCAACTCCACCTCCAGATATTTCCCCTAGAAAATGAAAACACAGGTCCACAATGGGACTTGTAAAACACATTCACCAATCTAATTCCTAAAATGGAAAATAATCCAAATGCTCATCAATAGGGAAAAAAAATACACTGTGATACATCCATGTAAACACTACTTAGCAATCAAAGATGAATTTCAAACCATGTCAAGCTTTCCAAAAAAGCCAGACCTCAAAAAGAACACCAGAAATTATTCCACTTATATATCAAACACTAAGTAAATCCAACTATTTGACAAATCAGAAAAGAGGAAAGGGTGAAGAAAACCTGGGATGATAAAAGGATTGAGTATATTGTTTGGGCAGTGGTTCCACAAGAATGTGCAACTCAAAATTCACCCACTGCACACTTAGTATGTAGGTTTTTTGTGCATAATCTAGTTAAAATTTTTTCATTTTAATTATACTACTGGATTGTATTAAGTAATGTAACACATTTTATTTTTAATTTTAAAGAGAGAGAATGAAAGACTCCCTGGAAATTCAGTTTTAAATGGCCTTTTTAACCACAAGAAATTCTGCTTCCCTCCATGGGGCCAGGTAAGTCCTAGTCAACTGTGGCTGTAGCCACATGACAATAGTATCCTCATCAGAATCTCCATGTATGTGCCCAGGCTCTTCATGACTGTAATGTCAGTTTTTCTCATGCATTCCCCAGGGCGTGTTCACACTGCTATCCCTTCAGTGCACCCAATAGGTGGCCCAGAGATGAGTTGTACTCCAACAAGATCCATCTGCATCCAGATTCTTAATCTCTTCATCCAAACCAGGTGATTCCCAACCTCAGCTAGTCTATCTGGAGAGAAAAGATCCTCCCAGATCTCCCTAATTATTTTTGAAGTTCATTAATTGCTATGTTAACTCTAAGTATAAACAGTACCAAAATTTGAATATATCAACTTTTAAACTTGGTTAAAAACCAAATACACAAATTTTCCTCCAGAATTTAGAAAAGCAAGTCCAACTATAAGAGCACTTAAAGAGTTTCTGCTTTAATTTAGAATTTCAATATCCCCAAAAGGCTTGGTCCCCAGTTTGGTGCTACTGGAAGGTACTGGAAAAACTGGGCCTTTGGCCGGAAATGTCCAGGTCACTGGGGACAAGCCCTCCTTCCCCACGGAGATTTTAGAATCCTGTCCCTCTCCTCCTCCTCCATCTCTTTTGCTTCCCAACTGGGAGAATTCTGCCCATCTGGTTCTGCAATAATGTGCTGCTTCACCTCAAAACCCGAGTAATGGAGCTAATCCTTCACAGACTAAGATCTTCAAAATTGTAAACAAGTGGGGTACAGTGGTGCATATTTGCAATCCCAAAGACTGAGGAGGCTGTGGCAGGAGGATCACAAGTTCGAGGCTGGCCTCAGCAACTTAGAAAGGCCCTAAGCAACATAACAAGACCTTGTCTCAAAATAAAAAATAAAAAGAATTGGGGATGTACCTTAGTGGTTAACCTCAATGGTTACCATCCCTGGGTTCAATTCCTGGCACACACACAAAAACAAAAAAAACACAAACAAACAAACAAACAAAAAAAAAAAAAAAAAAAACTACCACCAAAAACAAAAACGAAACCCCTATAAACCAAGCTAAGCCAGGTGTGGTGTCAAACACCTGTAATCCCAGCGACCTGGGAGGCACAGGAGGAGGATTTCAAGTTCAAAGCCAGCCTTGGCAACTTAGAAGAACCTGTCTAAATAAATAAGGGTCAGATATGTAATTCAGTGATAGAACACTGTTGGGTTCAAAAAACATGAGTCTTTTCTCTTAGAAAGCTAACTATCAGGCATTTACAGTTACTGAAAACTGACAAAAACAGTCCTTTCTCTAACTGCTCATCCTAAGAAGAAAAAAAAGTGATAGCATCACAGGTCTATGTATGTTAAAACTCATCAAAACTTTAAATATGTGCACTTTATTGAATGCCAAATATACCGCCACACAACATTTTGATTATAAAGAAAAAAGCAGTATGGGAGCTATCAAGTCCCAGCTACTCAAAGACACTCCCAGGAGGTGGCCCAGGACAGCTTTATGAAATTCCTCACAAGAGACTGGCTTGCTGGGCTGGGGTTGAGCTCAGTGGTAGAACGCTCATCTAACACGTGCAAGGCTCTGGATTCGATCCTCAGCACCACATAAAAATAAGTAAATAAAGGCATTGTGTCCAACTACACCTAAAAAATAAATATAAAAAAAAGAGAAAGAGACTGGTTTGCTCAGAGAAGGAAACAAGGAACAGCACAATGTGGGAACACCTGTGACTAGACATGACCAAGGGAACATTACACAAGCTGTGTGTCAACACAGAGCCAGAACCTGTCACCAGAAAAGATCCAGCCCTCTCCACAAGGAGGAAAGCCATTAAAAAACAAAAAGACCACCAACACAGATTTATGCAGTCTTGGCAGGCAAGAAGAAGGCAGCTCAGGGTGGAGGGCAGGGCTATCTCCAAAGAAAGGAATAATAGGGCTGGGCAAGATGGCATATACCTATAATCCCAGCTGTTCAGAAGGCTAAGACAGTAGGAGCACAAGTTTGAGGCCAGCCTCAGCAGCGTAGGAAGGCCCTAAGCAACTTGGGGAGATCCTGTCTCAAAATAAAAAGGGCTGGGGACAAAGCTCAGTCAGTGGTAGAGTACTTGCCTAGCATGTGTGAGGCTCTGAGTTGAATCCTAAGTATCACAAAAGAGAGAGAAAGAGAGGGGTGGGGAGAAAGAGAAGGGGAAAACCAGATCTGATAGGGAGGCAGGGAAAGAGAGAGTCTCATCCTATATATCCTCCTCTTCCCCAAATCACTCCTCCTTACTTATTTCTCAGGACCACAATCACACTACAGCAGGAAAAACTCAATGCTGGTTAACTCATAGGTGAACAACACTAATATGACTCCTACATAGCTTAAATCCAGTTTCTCCCCTATTGTTTCCATGGCCTCCATCAATAGTCCTCCTAGGAATCACCAAACTCATAGCTGACCAAAATGTTAACCATTTCTTTAAAAAGTATCACAATCAAAATATTCATAGAATTATACTTTCTGTGTCACAATTTGATATCAAATGCTAGACTTTTAAGTCTGAGAATCACATTCATAATTTCTAGCACTACCTGATTTTCAAACGAATATGGCCCCCTTTCATCTTGGTGCAGTTTTTTAAAATTCATGACATAGATGGGGCAACTAGAAATATGAACACTGATTGTGATTTTGAGTATTATTAAAGAATTATTTTTTGGATGTAAAAATGATATATATTATAGTTATACATTTTGTCTTTTAAAGATAATATTAAAAAACATGAGTAGAAGGGAAAAAAAAAAACATGAACAGGATGTCTGAAAGTTACTTCAAAATAATAAAAGGGAGAGCCTGGTGCAGCGGTGCATGCCTGTAATCCCAGAGACTCAGGAGGCTAAGGCAGAAGGATCAAGTTCAAAGCCACCCTCAGCAACTTAGCAATACCCTAACCAACCTATCAAGACCATTTCTCAAAATTAAAAATAAAAAGGGCCAGGAATGTGGCTCAGTGGATTCAACTCCTAGTACCAAAATAAAATAATAATAATAATAATAAATGGGAATGTGGTTAGCATATAGATGAAAAACATAAGCTCTGAGCTGGTAACTGCTAAAAAGTCAAGTGACAGGTAAGTAGAGATTATACTCTTAAAACTTGTGTATATATTTAAAATTGTTCCTAATAAAGCCTCTTTATTATAAAGTGTATTTGTTTTAGAGTTTAGGCATACTGTTATGAATTAAGAGACAAAAGACATACATTCAACCTTAAATTCAACTTGTGTTAAGTGGATCTTATTTCCAATTATTTTTTAAAATCTGACATAAGTGGACAAATGTGAATATGAGCAATTAAATCACATTAGAAAACTACCATTTCTAAATGTAATAATGTTAAAGAATGAATGCTTATTGTTTTGTTAGAAAGGAGCATTCTGGTTTTGGTTTTTGGTGTTGGGGATTGAACTGAGGGGCACTTTACCACTGAGCTTTCTAACCCCGGCTCTTTTTTTTTTTTTTTTTTAATTTGAGTCAGGTTCTCACTAAGTTGCTGAGCTGGCCTTGAACTTGCAATCCTCCTGTCTCAGTCACCAAGCCAGGAAGGAAGGGGAATTTCTGAAGTCCACAAAACAAGAGCCACAAAGGCTAAATATAATTCTAAATTAGTTCAGCAGAAAAAGAAAAAAGACATGTTCATCCTTTTATAGATAAAGGAAATAGGGCAAAGTCCAAACTGGCAGACCTAGGCAAAAGGTATAATGGGCATTCACTGTACTGTTTTCTCAACTGTTCTGTACATTTATAAATGTTTAATAATAAATAAGGTTAAAAAAAAAAAGTGCTTTCAAGTTGGGTATAGTAGTGTGTAACCACGGTCCTGGCTACCTGGAAGCTGAGGCAGGAGGATTCCTTGAGACTAGGAGTTCAATGCACTGGCAACATAGCAAGACCCCATCTCTTTAAAATATGTAAAGAATTGGGCTGGGGATGTGGCTCAAGCGGTAGCTCGCCTGGCATGCGTGCGGCCCGGGTTTGATCCTCAGCACCACATACAAACAAAGATGTTGTGTCCTCTGAGAACTAAAAAATAAATATTAAAAAATTCTCTCTCTAAAAAAAAAAAAAAAAAAAAAGTAAAGACTTAAAATGATAAAAATAAGCAGGTACAGTGGTGCACTTATATAATCCCAAAGAATCCATAAGCAATTTAGTATGACCCTGTCTCAAATAAAAAGAGCTATGGATGTAACTCAGTGTTCAAGGGCCCCTGGGTTCAATACCCAGTACCAAAAAAAATAATAATTTACCAACTGCCTTAAAAACAGAAAGAAAACAGTCACACACAGTAAGATATATGTACAAACTTTTTATCTAAGACATGTGGATGGCAAATAAGCACACAAAAAGATTACTGATATTATTTTTGTCACGAGAGTTAAAAATACAATGAGATCTATCCACTAGATTAGCTAAAATTAAAAAGATTGGTCATACCAGTGTTGCTGAGGATGGAGAGGAACTGGAACTCTCATACACTACTGAAGGGAATACAAAATGTACAACCAATCTGGAAGACAGTTCTGCAGTTTCTTCCAAAGTTAAATATACACCTGCCATAAGAACCAGCCATTCCATTTTTGTGTTTATTCAAAAAGTAATGAAAACTTATGTCCATAAAGACTTGTACATTAATAATCATAGCAATTTCATTTATAATATCTCAAAACTGCAAATACCCCAAATGTTCATTCCTGGCAAACAGATAAGCAAACTTATGGTATTTCTATACAACAGAATACTACCTAACAATAAAAAGGACTCAAATACTGATACACACTACAATAAGGAAGTCAAAGAAATTTGCCAACAAAAAACAATCAAAAAAAATAAAATGTTTTTTCTATGTGAATTCATTTACACAAAACTTTTAAAAAATGAAAACTCACCAACTGTTAAGAGAAAACAGCCCAATTACTTCCTGGAGCCTGGGAGACTTAAAAATGGGTAGAAGAAAACATTTGGCAATGATGGATGTGTTTATTCCCATCTATGATAGAAATAAACTATACAGCAAAAGTTATGAAATGGTACATTTCAAATATGTCCCATTTATTATGTCATGTATATATCTCAAGAGAGCTGTTTAAAAAAAAAAAAGGAGTTAAACAATGGGAGATGTCTTGCAAAAAAAGATGGGTGCTGGTCACCATTAAAGCAGCAATGAGGGGCTGGGAACATAGCTCAGTTGGTGGAATGCTTGCCTCGAATGCACAGGCTCTGGGTTCAATCCCTGACACCACCACCAAAAAAAAAAAAGCAGCAATGAGTAACAGCATTATAACAATTATTGAACCCAGGGAACATATGTTCCACAACAGTCTCAAAAGACAGGAACAAAGAAGTCATCTAGGGCTGGGGATATAGCTCAGTTGGTAGAGTGCTTGCCTCACATGAGCAAGGCCCTGGGTTCAATCCCCAGCATCACCAAAAAAAAAAAAAAAAAAGTCATCTGAAAAAAAAGATAAAAACAAGGCCATTGTAGGAAAGAATTAGGGGTTTAAAATAGAGATTGTTGGCTTATCCTATAGTGATAGGGAAAACTATTAAGTAAAATTTCACCTGGAAACATTACTCTGGCTTAAGTGAGCAAGAACATAAACCCAGGACAGAAAAACTGGGAGCAGGAAGACCAAGACAAGATTTTTCTCTTGATATGAACTAGGGACTGAAGAGAGGTTGACATAGTGGAGACAGAAAAGAAATGGACATATGAATAGAATATAAAGGCAAAATTTTATGAATCATAAAATAAGAAGAATTTGGGAGAAGGACACCATTGCCATCTTTCATCAAAATGAACTATGTGAGGCTAGTGTTCTAAGCCACAAAGAATTGCCCCAGCAATCTTGGAAGGTGCTTCCCGTGGAGGACAAGCCAAGCCCTCATGTCAAAACACAGGCCACCACTGTTGCAAAAGAATCACAGAGTCCTGAGTATTAATGCCGGAAAGGAGTCAACATCAGAGGATGCAGGATCACAGGAGGAAAATTCCACTCAATAAACAACCTTTAAAAGACTCAGATGAAACCAACTGCATTTTTTTTTTTGGGGGGGGGGGGGTTACTAAGGATTGGACTTGGGGATACTCAACCACTAAGCCACATCCCCAACCCTATTTTTTATTTTATTTACAGACAGGGTCTCACTGAGTTGCTCAGTGCCTCGCCATTGCTGAGGTTAGCTTTGAACTCATGATCTCTGTCTCAGCCTCCTGAGACACTGGGATTACAGGCATGCACCATGGTGCCCAGTCCAACTGCATTTTTCACAGTGACTTTTTTTTTTTTTTTTTAAAGAGAGAGAGAGAATTTTTTTTTTAATATTTATTTTTTAGTTTTCGGCGGACACAACATCTTTGTTTGTATGTGGTGCTGAGGATTGAACCCGGGCCACATGCATGCCAGGCGAGCGCGCTACCGCTTGAGCTACATCCCCAGACCCTTACAGTGACTTTTAAAACAAAAATATTCTGATGCACTTTACATGGAAGACAAGACTTTCTTTTAAACAAAGACTGGGCTAGGGATGTAGTTCAATGCTAGAGCACTTGCCACTGGGTTCCAACCCAGTACCAACACCCCCCACCCCCAGAAAAAGAATTACAAAAATATAACCAAATAAGCAAAGTGCTAAAGTACCATAAAGAAACCAATGGCAAGATGGTTTTCAGTTTCTAGTAGTAAGCTCCTACTCCTTAAACAGAGAGGCTCTGGCATAAGAAGTTACCTTTAACAACTGAGTGATTATAATGAAGATTTGTATGCTGAGAGGACCTGGCAATATCTAAAACTTATAATACAGACACCAAAAGGCTAATTTTATAAACTCAGAAATAAAACCACTTAATCCCAAATCCTAACTCTGTCCCCTCTCTTCTTAAAGCCCAGCCCCTTTTCTTTCTCCCCTACTGCATGTACAATGCATTTCATCACCCAGGACATACCTGTTTGGAAGGTAGGATTCGCTCCAGGGTACATGTTAGGAGAATAGGCAGGAGCTGCGGCTGCATAGCCCATGGGGAAACCAGCTGAAAGAAAACATATACAGCACAATGTGATGTCATCAAAGAAGAAGTAAGAGACTCTTATAATCAGAGCTCCTACAAACCCGTTATTCTTACCCTCAACTCCAAAACTCCACACGATGACTCACAAACACCAATAGCACTAAGTGTCCAACAGTTTGTCTATAAGTTGTTTTTCTTCAAAATTTTAATGGGTAAGAACCATAATCATATGTTCTAAATCTATGATTAAATGTTTACAACTTTTTACAAATGGAAAAATTTGGCATAAAGAGAGTTAGAATCTACTCTGAAGAAAAACTAAATCAAAGGGCAAGGTATTATAGCTCAGTGGTAGAGTCAGTCCCTGCTTGGTATGTGTGAGGCTCTGGGTTCAATTTCCAGGACCAAAATAAATATGAATAGCTAAATCATAATACCAAAAACCAAATATTTTTAAACCCCAAGCTATAATAAGCAAATCTCCAACACTTACAAAAGTTTTGGTCCTGATCCTACTCACATAATTTCTTACCAAGAGTAATCAGTGTGCTAAGGGTATATATAGTATGGTAGGTCCAGTTACCTTCATCTGTCTTCACTGCATAAAGTATGAAAGAACCATGATTCTTGGAGCTAAGAGTCTATTTTTGCTGCGACCAGTGAGCAACAAAAGGTGTTTTAAGGACATATATTCTCAGTGACTCCAAAGACATAGCCACATTATTGCATATTTTCATTTAAAAGCTATTTTGTGTTATTGTTCTTAGGCACTATTTAAAACTCCTAAATTCATTTCAGACTTTTTCATACTCTAATCCCCAACAACTTTCCCAGTTCAGGGTGGCCAATCATGACCCCAGGCTGTCAATATCATTACATGTCAGTCTTCTTACTGAAGAGGCTCCAACTGGCCCTGCAAGCACCAGGAAGTGGAAAAAGTCCAATCAAGAACCATATGGGGAGGCTGGGGTTGTAGCTCAGGGGTAGAGGGCTCCCCTAGCATGTGTGAGGCACTGGGTTCTATCCTCAGCCTCACATAAAAAAAAACAAACAAACAAAATAAAGGTACTGTGTCCATCTACAACTAAAAAAGAAATTCTGAAAGAGAGAGAGAGAGAGAGAGAGAGAAAAGAAAAGAACCGAACCGAACCATATGGGGGCTGAGGTTGTAACTCAGTGTTAAGAGTAGCTGCCTAGCATGTGTGAAGAACTGGGTTTACATCTCAGCACTGCGTATAAGTAATAAAAATAAAGGTCCATCAACAACTAAAATAATAATTAAAAAAAAAAAAAGAAAAAAGAAAAGATGGGGCTGGGGATGTGGCTCAAGCGGTAGAGCGCTCGCCTGATATGTACGGGGCGCTAGGTTCGATCCTGGATACCACATAGAAATGGAATGAAGATATTGTGTCCACCTAAAACTAAAAAATAAATATTAAAAAAAAGAAAAGAAACTTATGGAAGCAAGCTGTTCTTTATTAAATGAGAAATTCTTAGAAGACTAAACTAATAGCCAGTAATAATTCCAAACATGAACACAAAGAAAACACCAAGACATTTAGTATGAAAGTCAGAATCCTGCCCTCTACCCAGATGTCTATTAGCAGAGGAGGCCTCAGTCATCTCCCCAGCCTTTCTCAGAGCCCAGGGACCCATGAGGCCCCTGATCCCCTTGATTGACTCCCTGGTTCATAGTGCAGAAAGATGTGACAGCCAGGGCATTAGAAATTCTTTTTCATACAAGGGGAAGAGTGCCACTGAGAGGACCCATGTTTGCTAGCCCTAACTAGCTAGTACAGTTGTGAAAAACTGTACTTTAGTCCTCTCTTCCCTAACCTGATGAAACAAAACAACAGTTAGGCTCCTTGGCATGGGGCAGCAACTTGGGAGGCTGATGTAGGAGGATCACAAGTTGCCTCAGCAACCTAGTGAAGCCCTAAGCAACTTAACAAGAACCTGTGTCAAAATAAAACATAAAAAGGGCTGGAGATATGGCTCAGTGATTAAGAGCCCTTGGGTTCAATCCCTGGTACCAAAAAAGAAAGAAACAAAACAGCAGCCTTCGAAAGAAACTGTGCTGAAGAGGCTCAGAGAAAGGTGTTTGTTTGCTAGGGCACTTAGACTGGGACATTTAGGGTGGCATCATGACCCTTTAAGGAACAGATGTAACAGTAAACAAAGTGATGAAAACCTTTGGAATGAGGTGAAAACTAGGGGCAGGAATTGGTGGTCTAAGTGAACTTCCAAAGGGTTCAGTCATTATGGATAGGTTTGGTTTTTGGTTTCTTTTGAAGCACTGGAGATAGACCCCAAGGCCTCCTGCATGCTCAGCGAATGCCCTAAACTGAGCTACACCCCTAAGTCCCTCAGTAGGTTTTATCTGAAGGTTATATATGAAGTCCCTTTCTAGAATCCCTGTAGCACCCCTCCTCAGCCGGGATGCCCTTGCTTTGCTATCCCACCTTTCCAAGCAGTCCAACAAGTTTCAATAAGAAAAGTAAGACAATGGCCCACAGGAATTCCTACAAGTGGCCAGATCTCATCTCTTACATGAATGTGTTTTGTTTTGTTTTTTTTTTTCCTTGATCCTGAAACTGATCCTCCTCTATCTCAGTAGAAACTATTTTGGGTTTATCTCTAGATTCTCACTTTCCCACTTGCCCCCTAGTCAGAGAATAATGTGCAGTGGTAAAATGTTTTATCAACTTCACTCATTCTGGACATCAAGGGAGGATTTCACTTGAAACAGACTTCAAGTGGCCATTGTAAAAACAGCAGGGCAGAAATTTCCATCAGCATTCTGTAGACTGACCTGGAGAGGTTCCCCAGAGGCCCAAATGCAAGGAGAGCCAAGTAAGCTCTGGAGCTGCCTCAATTCACCCATAGGAGCTAATGGTATATAGCTTATACACCAGGGAGTCAGTCAGAAAAGGAAATACCACTGACCTAGAGAATATGCTGTAGGCATGTGCAGGAATTCCCACAAAATCCAATTTTCTTTATCTCTCTCCATAAAATCCACTAGTAAATTCTCTGAGAATCATCTGTTTGGTATTTGCTTCAAGGGTCTTACTGTTATGTTTGTTTGGCCCTTCCCTTCACAACCATCTAACAATGAGTTAATGTGCTCTAAAATCAAACAGATCACAAAGCATATTTAAAATAGCTAGTGAATAACCAACAGAGGGTCATTATACAACTGGCCTCTGGTATGGGAGCCTCTGCTCCTTCCATGCCCTCACTCTCTCCATTCCATCAGCCACATTCCATCTGCTCTGCCACCATCATGACCAGAGCTGAACATAGCTCACCTCACTATTTCTACTTCAACCGTTTCCACTTGGGTTACATATAACCCCACAGGGGTAGTCTGAAAAGACCCTACTGGCATGCTACTTTGCTGGCTATGGGTGTAACACCAAACTCTTTCTCTTATTCTCTCCAGAATTTTGTTGAGAAGAACTGTTTCTCTACCCTTAGGATTTTTCTAGCCCTAGCAGCTTCCTAAAAATGTCCCCCAGTGGACAACAAGAAGTGTCTCCTTCAACAACTACTCTCATTCTTTTCTGGCATGCAGAGGCTTTGGAAAGGCCAGACTCCCCACAGCAAGAGAATGGAATGATGAACTTCAACTATAGCCATTTTTATGTGCTTGATCACTTTATGGTAATACCATCAAAACAGGGGAAAAAAGACAAATTAGGAGAAAATATTTACCAATTACTTAGATAAAGGGTTGACATACTTAACGTTTGTTTCTTTTTGGGAAGTTCAGAGAATTGAATATAGTACTTCACATCCTCTAGGTACCACTGAGCTACATCTCCAGCCCTTCTTACTTTGAGACAGGTTTTCACTAATGTTACTTGGACTGGCCTCAAACTTCTAATCCTCCTGCCTCAGACTTCCAAGTAGCTGGGATTATAAACCTATACCACCACATCTGTCTATAACTTGTAAACTAGAAGAACAAAAACCCAAGAAAAAAAAAATAGACATGGACTGTTAGAACTGCAAACTACAACTACACTGATACCATCTCACACCGGAATAGCAACCACCTGAAAATTAGACGACATTTTGTCAGCAAGGCTGTGGAAAAATGATCTTCTAGCAGAAGGATAAAACAGGAAAAGCTCTATGGAAGTGAACTTGGCATTATCTTAAAAACTGCACATGTAGGGCTGGGGATGTGGCTCAAGCGGTAGTGTGCTCGCCTGGCATGCGCGCAGCACTGGGTTCAATCCTCAGTACCACATACAAAAATAAAGATGTTGTGTCTGCCGAAAACTAAAAATTAAATATTAAAAAAATTCTCTCTCTCTTTAAAAAAAAAAAAGCTGCACATGTATATATGGGAGGCTGAAGCTAAAGGATCCTGAGTTCAACCCCAGCCTGGGCAAAACAGAAAGATGCTGTATCCAAAAATATCAAATGTAAACATATTTACTCTTTGATACACAACTCTACCTCTAACATTCACCTTGAATTTTAATTTCCACAACAAATATAAGCACAAGGTCATTTACTCTGAAGCATCATTCAAACAGCAAACAATTCAAACAACCCTAACACCCTTCAAAAGGAAACCCTACAAGAAAACCCTACAAGGGGCTGTGGTTGTGGCTCAGTGGTAGCATGTCACCTAGCACACTGAGGCACCGGGTCTGATCCTCAACAACACGTAAAAATGAAATAAAGATTGTATGTCCACCTACAACTAAAAAATAAACATTTAAAAAATAAATATAAAAAAAGAAAACCTCACAAAATGGAGGGTTTATTCAATAGTATTATGTTTTAAAAAAAGAAGAAAAAAATCTCTGTGAAATTATATGGGAGTGATTTCTAGAATAATTTAAGTTAACAAAGCAAAGTGTGAGACACTTGCTGCATCACTTTCCCAAAACTAACCTGCTGTTCCAACAGTGAAGACATACGCGGGCTGATGACCTCCAGCAGTAGCAGCCTAACACAAGCCTCCTGCAACTGCCAATCCTTTCCCCAGGAAACCCAATAGCCTGGCTGAGACTTCCTCGATTAAGCACTCCAGTCTGAGGCTCTTCCTATCCAATTCTGCTTCCTCCCCATTGATTTTCCACAAGTGTTATCCCACCACCCTCGCCCCCACCAAAATGTATCTGTTGCTAACTCCAACTCAAGAGTCCACTACTTTCTGTGCACCAAAGGAGAAATTAGAATACATGACTTGTTGGCCTGGGACACTTGTCAACTCAGCATGGGCAAAAGTTCCTCATTCCCTGAGTTGATTAAGATCAATCAGTAAGTTATCTACCTGGCAAAGGAAGACCTCATCAGGACCACCCACAATTTCTAATATAACATGTGTGACAACCAAAGAAAAATCCCAGACAACCCGAGAGAAATGACTGAAAAACAAACTAACAACAGAAATAGACCCACAGCGAATCCAGAGTCTGCAGTCAGCCCAAAGATCTTTCAAATAACTGAGTAATATATTGGAGAAGATAAAAAGTCTTGATTCAATGTATGATTTTACAACAAATTTGAGCACAATCAGGATTAGTGAAATGAAAACAGATCAGTAGAAGCTATCCATATTTTAAATTAATTGAGGTAAAAAACTGGAAAATACAAAAGAAAAGAGGTACATTCATATACTTGTTAATGAAGTCCCAGGAAAGAGTAAGGAACAGAAAAATACTTGCACAGATACTGCAACGGCTAGGAAGAAACAAACCAAGGACCAAAAAGTTCACTAAATGCTAAGCAAGACAAAAACCAAGAAAATGATATCTAGTTACATGATGGTAAAAACAAAGATATTTTAGGGGCTAGGGCTGTAGCACGTTTGAGTCACTGGGTTTGAGGAAGGAAGGAAGGAAGGAAAGAAGGAAGGAAGGGAGGGAGGAAAAGAAAAAAGAAAGGAAAAGAAAAGAAAGAAGAAAGATTTTTTTTTTTTTTTAAAGATATTTTAAAAGCCATAGGGAGGGGCTAGGGTTGCAGCTCAATGGTAGAGCACTCGCCTAGAACATGTGAGGCCCTGGGTTCGATCCTCACCACCACATAAAAATAAATAAAATAAAGGTATTGTGTCCAACTACAACTTAAAAATAAATATTAAAAAAAAAAAAAAAAACAGAGAGCACAACGGATGGCAAGGGAGAAGCAAAAATTGATTCCCAAAGGCAATGCAAAACTGAAGACAATGGAATTACATCCTTAATGTCTGAGAGAGAGTAACTGCCAACCTAAAAAATCTATATTCACCATTATAAACAAAAACAAAGGCTCCCCAAAAGATATCACATTAGATCCCCAGGAAAATGACTATGAACTTATTTGAAATAAGACTTAGCAAATATGACTCAGGATCTTGAAATGAGATCATCCTTGACTGCTCAGGTGAGCCCTAAATCCAATGACAAGTGACTTTAAAGAATACACACAAAAGAGAAGCAGAGGTTTTGACTATGGAAGCAGAAATGGGATTGATGTGGCCCCAGGGCTACAGTGTAGGATGACCTGCAATGCCAGAAACTAGAAAAGGCAAAGACTGTAGCCCTACCCATATCTTAATTTCAAACTTCTGTATCCGTGAGAGAATAAAATTTCTATTTTAATCTATTAAAAGCTTGTGAGACTGGGGATATAACTCAGTTGGTAAGTGCTTGCCTGGCATGCACAAGGCCATGGGTTCAATCCCCAGCACAACAATAACAACAACAACAAAAAAAACATTATTTACAGGGCTGGGGTTGTGGCTCAGAGGTAGAGCACTCACCTACCATGTGTGAGGCACCGGGTTCGATTCTCAGCACCACATTAAAAAAATAAATAAGTATATTGTGTCCACCTATAACTTAAAAAAAAAAATTAAAGTTTGTGGATTGGGAGGGGGTGTTAAAGGGAGTTATTCAGATAAAGAACAAAAGACCCAGACAGAAACGTGTCAACAAAGAAAGCAATAAAGAGCACTACAAATAACTGAGTTAATAGCTGTTGACTGCACAAAATAAAAACAGTAATGTCTTAAGGCATGGCAACAATAATACAAAAGGAGAAAAAGAGAATTTTTAAAATGTTGTATTATAGTAACCATTAAGAGAATAGTGAAAAAAAAAAACTAATAGAAGAATTAAATAAAAATATTTGATTAATCCAAATGATGGCAAGAGAAAAATGAGCAAAGAAAACAAAATTCTGGATATAAATCAATTATATCAGTAATTATAACAAAATATAAAACATTTCTGAGAAGAGTTTCCTATTTAAGTGTAAATAAAAATAACAGTAATAGAACCAGTCTCTCCATTTGTCAGTAAGAGTATAAAAGAGCACAAAAGGGGGCTGGGATTGTGGCTCAGCAGTACAGCGCTAGCCTAGCATGCGCAGAGCCCTGGATTCAATCCTTAGTACCACATAAAAATAAATGAATGGAATAAAGTTATTGTGTCCAACTACAATAAAAAAAATAAATATTTTTTTTTTTTTTTTTTTTAAAAAGAGCACAAAAGTACTTTCCTATATTAAAATGTCTTGTCAGCTTTTGGTTGAAATTATGCTGGCCGTCACATCCTGCAGGCACATCTTCCCATATTTTTGACTCCCTGATTTAAATGACCTAGAGTGATTATTGGTCCTGCATTGAAACCTCACTCATAAAGTTTTTGTTTAATTTATTTTTTAGTTGTAGTTGGACATAATACCTTTACTTTATTTTGTTTTTATGTGGTGCTGGGGATTGAACCCTGGGGCTCGTATGTAGCTTAGGCAAGCACTCTACCGCTGAGCTACAACTCCAGTCCCTCTCATAAAGTTGTATAGAAGTAAGAGAGACATAAAAATCTCAAAACCAAGAAAATAGAAAATAAGTATAAGGAAATGAAGGCAAAAACTATGTAAAAAGATACAAAATTTTAAATATCTTTAAAATTACAGAAATTTTCTTTTAAATGTAATTTTTAGACCCCAAAATAAAATAAAAAATGTGAGAGGGGGTAAAAAAAAGCAGCTTACTCCAAAAATTCTCTTAACCAAGTGTCAGCAACAGCCCACAGGGCCCACCACCCATTTTTACAGTTGTACTGGAACACACCACACTGAATATTGCCAAAGGCTGCTTTTGTGCTACAGAGACAGAGCTGAGTAGCTATACAATTCTAAAATATTTACTACCTGGACCTTCATGTAGAGTTTACCAATCCCTGTCAATGGCCAACCAAAGAGGAAGAACAAATATACACATTTCAGCATTAATACCACTATACAGAGCTGGTGTTTATGCTTCCTGGAGCACTTCATTCTCCTCAAACTTCTTAGCCAGTCTATTCCCCCCGCCCTCCAATCCTAATACTGCTTTCTGGTTCTCACTTTAGCAGTGTTCTACAAGCAAATTAACCTGAATTTTGTCCAAAAATTTTTTTTTTTTTTTGCCATTTTTAAGTTCTGATTGGTTACTTTTTCTCTCCCAGCATACTGTTCCCCTCTTATGTTTTTGATTCTTTCTTTTCCATTTGTAATTATTCTAAAATTGTCGGTGTGACACAGCAAACAGTCATGACTGGTGACTTTCACCTGACAGCACCCTGTGTCTTATGATTTTTCATGCAAGCAGGCAGAATTTTGTCTGTGGGAAGCCCACGCAAGCTGGGTTGAGGACAAATGCCTCCACAGCACTTATGCATTCTCTTCTGTCAGGGGCTCTAGGGGAAATGCAAGTTGAAGAATATTTTTTATGTTGGTTTCTAAACTTCTGGAGCCCCTAGGAAATGCACAGTAATGCAAATCAGTGTTCTAAACATCCCTGAAATGGCTACAAAATCTTAGGAAAGCCATCCCTCCTTCTCAGAGCCCATGCAGACTCAAGCTTCTGGGTGGGACCACCTCTTTCCTGGGAGATCAACTCTCTAGAAATCAGACTAATTGATGAGAGCCCACTCCTACTCCTTGTCTCACAAGATCTGAAGCCTATTCCCATGTGGATTGTTACAACCCACAAACAACAAATACCTCTTGGACAGACACCTTACCTTAATGGTCAAATAAAATGGGTTTCACACCACTCCCATATTTGACCCTAGACAATCCTTTTCCCTCCTGCAAGTTCAGGTATACATTTTCAAATGTTTTATTCCATTTTCTTTTCTTTTTTGACCCCAGGGATTAAACCCAGGGGCACTAAGCCCATCTCCAGCACTATTTTTTTTAATATTTTTGTATTTGTAGTAGGACACAATATCTTTATTTTATTTATTTTTATATAGTGTTGAGGATCAAACCCAGCACCTCGCACATGCTAGGCAAGCGCTCTACCACTGAGCCACAACCTTATCCCTGCCCAATACTTTTAAAAAATATTTTATTTAGAGACAGGGTCTTACTGAGTTGCTTGGGAACTTGCTAAATTGCTCAGAATGGCTTTGAACTCACAGTCCTCCTGCCTCAGCCTCCAGAGCCACTGGGATTACAGGCATGCATCACGGTTCCCAGCTCATTTTCTAAGGATTTTGTAGCAACAAGGTTTTAGGGTTATCAACCATATTATTAAAATCCACAAAGAAATCATAACATTGCAAATAGTTATCCTTTATTCAAAGTCACCACTCAGGACAACCATTGCTGACTCGGTACTGTTCAGGCCTTAGTTAGAAGTATGTCCTCTCTGACCCAGGGATGAAACTAAAGTTCCATCAGATATGATATAAATAGGAAATAAAAAGCCTTTTGGGCTTTCTTACAGGGCAGAGATAAAGTGAAAGATTGTTATGAGGGCTGAGCCACAATGGGGAGGAACAAACAGGACCTGTGACTAATTAATATTAAGCTAAGATGAGGAAGTGAGGCTTACCAGACCAACTTAGATAAACAAGATCCTGGTCCCAACTGCTGAAACTACTAAATTAAACTTTGATCAAAGCCAGTCTTCTCTCTTAATTTTTCATTTTCATTTATCTTCTTCCTTGTCCACTCTAAATATTTTCAATGCTATGGAAATATACCAAGTAATCAAAAATGAAAAATTCTACTCACTTACCTGGATAACCAATTCCTTTGGCATTTGCATAGGGAACCCCAGAAGATCCAGGGCTATAAACGGGATTCATGATTTCAAGAACTAAAAGGAAAAAAAAAGTGATTTAGCCAAGTATTTTTGTTCTCAAGATTTTTCTCCAGTATCAGTCCCCAAAAGAGCAGGTACTAAGAATCTTTCTCTAGCCTATCTAAAAGGTGTTTCATGCTTCTCCCAACTAGCAGACAACACAAAATGAACACCAAATGTTTTAATTAATGCCCAACCAGGATGTTATAAACAGTTCTTTACAACTCTCTTCAGTCCATCAGAAACTAACAGGAAAAAGTATTCGCTATATAAGAAAAAACATTCTACAAATAACCTAAATGTCCTTTTAATAAAGAACAGTTAAGATATATCCAAGCCATGAAATATGCAGGTGCTTTTAAAAAAGCATTTAAGTAAAATGGAGGTATACCTTAGTGTTAAGAGAGCTTGCTTGGCAAGCCACTAGGCCCTGGGCTTGATCCTGGGTCCACAAAAAAGCACAAGATTGATACAATGTTAAGTGAAAAGAGTAGGGTACAATACTGAGCCCAAATTTACATCAACTTATGGTCATTGGCACCTCCAACACATGGAAATAAGTGTGGAAGAAAACAAAAACATTAAGGTAATTATCTCTACATGAGTTGGGTTTAGTGTTCCTCCTCACTTTTCTGCATTTTTAAAAATAACTTGATTTTTTTCCTAAAAAAAGAAAAATTAGCTTACAGCCCGGCTATTCATTAACCCACTCAATGTTCTAAAACTCACTAATCTTTTTTTTTTCCTGAAAAGTTCAAACATTTAGTTATGATTCTGTTCCTTCCCTAACTAAAATAAGATTCTCAACTTAAGTATGAGCTTTCCCTAGTCCTCATCCAGTAAGTCACTCTTTTTTGGCCCCAGGGATTATGTGACTGAAAAGAGCAAGATGATCTTTAATTTACATAAAAACTGTGTGAGGAAAGAAGTATATATGGCACTCTGAATTTTTTTGCTGAATATTGCTGTGAATCTGAAACTGCTCTGAAAAAGTTCCCCACACTTCTTTTTCCTTTTTTTTTTTTTTTTTTTTTTGATGTTTGTTTTTGAGATGGGGGTCTATGTTGTTCAAGCAAACTCTTGGGCTCAACTGATTCTCCTATCTCAGACTCTCAAGTAGGTGAGTCTACAGGTGAGCCCATGACTCCTGGCTAAAAGTTCTGTTTTTTAATTGGGGGCAGGGGTGGGGGGATAGGACAACCCACACATTACATGTACATTAGTTTACTTTTTCAGTGTATGCCTTCTCCACATGCCCAATTAGAATACAGGCCCACAAAAGCAGAGAACATACACTTGGTGCTATTTTCTTTGATGTCTCTAATTCACCAATAACAATGTCTAATACAAAATAGGTTCAAATACCTACTCACTTTCTTAAAAACACACACACACTTTAAAACTCTAGTTTTTTAATTCCATTAAAGACAAAACACAGGGCTGGGGATATAGCTCAGTTGGCAGAGTGCTTGCCTAGCATGCACAAGACCCTGGGTTCAATCCCCAGCACCACCAAAAAAAAAAAAAAAAAACATAAATAAATAAATAAAAATAAAGACAAAACACAAAAATGAAGCACTTCAAATTTTCAGCTCACCTAACTCATAAGTCACAGCTAAGCAGTTCAGTATACAGAATAAACTAGCTCACAACCTTAGCCTCTGTAACAAATTCAGTAAGAATAAATTGACAGCATCAGAGATAAGGGCATTTATCAACAGAACAATTATTTTTTTTTTTTAAGACTTTTAAACCAAAGCTAGATTTGCTACATCCAAAACTACAGTTAAATGATATCTTAATCAGAATGTTCTCCCCTTCCTGATGTTCATTATGGCAGCCACTTGCCTAGAGTGACTATGAACACCTGAAAAAATGTGGCTGGTGCAAGATCTCATGTTTCATCTTTATTTAACTTCAACTTAGTCACATATGTCCAGGACTACCACATTGGACAGCACAGACCTACAAAATAAAGAAAAAACAAGAAAGGAAGCAGGTAAGCAGAAGGATCAATTGTGTTTTATCCCCCAAACTGGCAATTGCCAAATCCAATTCCTCTACACTTTTAACCTACTCTTGGAGATCTACAACATAGGAATCATGAAGGTCCTCAAATACTTCATTAACTTCTCAGGTTTAACTATCATTTCTCAAGAAATAAATATTTCCCAAACTCTAGTTTTCTGCATTCTGTGCCAAAACCTAATTTTATTTTCTTAACTGAACATGAGATTAGCAAAACACTATGCAAAAGCCATGGAGAAAGGAGGAAGTCACAGTACCTCCCTTCTGAATTTACAATCTAGAAAAAGCGCTGTCCAACAGAATTTTCTGCAAAGTTGGAAACTATGTCTGTGCTGTCCAAATATGGTAACTGAATTTTCAGCTTAAATAATCAGATGTAAGTTACAGCTATTATTCTGAACAGCACAGGCCTATAAGAATTAAAACAAAAATCATGAATAATTGTGATACAGGGCAGAGTATTAAGAGTCACAAGTGAATAAATTGTTCTAAGAGCTGAATGGAGAGAGCAAAAATTCAATAGGGGAGGGACGAATAATCAGGAAACATGATTCAAGAGGCAGCATTTCCAAATTTCACAACTAGCCACAGGAATGAGAAAATTCAAGACCCACATTGCAAATATTAGAAGACTGGGTATATCTGGAGCTTAGGTTACAAGTAGGAATCAGCAATAAGTGACTATAGAGAAACAGGTTAGATTACAAGCAGGTGGAGACCCTTAAATGTGGGCTGAGCAAGCAGCTATCGTATGACAGGCAATGAAGCTCATAAACAGCACAACTAAACAAGAGTTCCCATTCCCTGGGTATATACCATTCCTATGTATACAAAATGAAAACTACATTCCTAGGTATACAAAATGAAAACTATACATCAAAAACTACACAAATTATTACTGTGCTGTGATAGCCAAAAATTGCAAAAAAAAACCTCAAATACACTGGAAACCAGGAGGCTCCCCTTCCATAGCCTTACAGTCTAGACCTCTAATGATACAGTTTAACCCACGTGCCACTAAAAATTTCACAGAACCACGTCTGAACTGAGATTACATTTCCTGAAAGAATTTCTACTTCCTCAGAAGCTGATAATATATATTTTCTAAAGTTATTAAAACATTTTAATGAATTAAAAGTTACATGTAGATAAAATATTACAGGATTAATGAAAGTGTTGCAGTTTTGTAACAATTTGACAGAGGCAAAAAATAACTTATAACAGACACATCTCTCTGAACAAACACCAAAAAGCTCAAGTTATTTGTTCATTCCCCCAATACTATAATCCCAAAGAACTGAGGAAATTCCTTGATCCACATGGCCTCTCTCCATCTCACAAAGTGAAGTTCTTAAGTATTTTTTGAATGTGCAAGAATAACTGAAGAATTATTCAACAGAACATATGGGATTTATCATAGTAATATTAACTTGAATTCAGAGTTACTGAAACATAATCTGTTTACTGATTAGTAGACTTGAAACCTGAACCTAAAGATCAAACCTAACATCACTAAGAGTCAAATTACTTAACTATCTGCATCCTTACATGATGAAATATGAATTACTATGTATCATCAAAGATGTATTGCTGCAAAAGTCAAATATATTTTTATGCCTCTAACTTCCAGTTCTGGGGAAAAGTCAAGGAGTTGGAGGTATGGAGGAATCAGGCAAAACCAAAAGATGGGGCATTCTGGAGGACAAATGACCCAGTTTCTTCAATAAGTCATTCATCTGAAAAAAAGGCACAGGGGTGGGGGCAGTATTAGATTAAAATAGATTATGGGCTGGGGCTGTAGCTCAGTGGCAGAGCACTTGCCTAGCATGTGTGAGGCACTGGGTTGATCCTCAGCACCACATAAAAATAAAATAAAGGCATTCTGTCCATCTACAACTACAAAAAAAATTTAAAAAAAAATAATATTAGACATAAAGGAAACAAACAGATTTTGTATGGATTCTGATTTAGAGTTTAAAAACCGTAAAAAAAAAAAAAAAAAATTTAAGGATATTTGGAACAAAACCTAAATTAGTATCAGATGATACGCTATGTGTAGTACATTTGAGGTTGCATGTATACATAATTTTTTAGAGATACATGTTAAAGTACATAAAGACATGTCTTTAATTTAAAACACTTCAACCAAAATGGGCAAATACAGTAAAATGCTAATAATCTTTACATCAGGATGTTGCATACATGGCATTATAGTATATTGTACTTTTTTCAGTTGCATAATGAAAAACAAAAGGAAAAAAACCATCACCAACCTGCCTGGAATCTAAGGCCACTAGTTATCCAGAAACCACCAGTTTCCTAGTTCTGACTTGGCTTAGACCAAGGAACCCAATCGCAAGGCTGGAACCACAGGGTACCACTTCTTTAAAGTTTTCCACTTGAAATGATTCAACTGTCAGAATTACTACGGGCGGTTTGACACCTACACAAGAAAAGAAAAATCTTAGATTTGATGACAGCAAAAATTCCTCAACCTGAAAATCCCAATCAGAACAATCAGGAATCTTTAAAATTAAAAAGCCATCACTGCATCATCTCTAGTTTTAAAGTATATCATGATCTAAATAAATAAACAAAGCTCCTACACAAAATAGTAATAATAAAATTTTAGGGGCTGGGGTTGTGGCTCAGTGGTAGAGCACTTGTCTTACCACTTGTGAAGCACTGGGTTCAATCCTCAGCACCACATAAAAATAAATTTTTTAAAAAAAAGGTTTTGTGGGCTGGGGATGTGGCTCAAGTGGTAGCGCGCTCGCCTGGCATGCGTGCGGCCTGGGTTCAATCCTCAGCACCACATACAAACAAAGATGTTGTTGTGTCCGCCGAGAACTGAAAAATAAATATTAAAAATCTCTCTCTCTCTCTCTCTCTCCCCCCCTTTAAAAAAAAAAAGGTTTTGTGCCCATCTACAACTAAATATTATATTAAAAAATTTTTTAAAGCCTGATATTTTAGATTTCCTATCAACAACCCTGATTTTATGGGGCTTAAACTCTCTTTCAGAGACTCCAATATACAACATACAATACTCTTTAATCAACACTGGAACTTCTCAGTAACATCTGACATCATCCAGAAAAGCACATAATAAAAGAAAGTTCTCCACTCTCCCCAGTCTACTTTCACTACCAACATATGCAGTCTACTGGGAGAAATTCACAAATTTCTGCACAATACACTTGGACAGACTTCAGGGAAACATAGACATGAGTGAAGAATTAGTCTATTGTGCTGGTATACTGCTGTTTAAAAACTGTTCCAATTGGTGCAGGAAAAGAAACTGTCTATATAAGACAAGCTAGAAAGACAAAAATTTCCCTTTAAACCACAGAGCCTGTAAAAAATTAAAATATTTTAAATGCACTTCAGATTTTTTTCCCCAAAATTCTCATCTACTTTTACAGCATTATGCTTTTCTTAATTTCCCAGTGTTTGGAATTCAAATAATTTTCAAGTTACAATTCTGTTTAATCTTAAAATGAATATGGGTTAAAAACTAGTTTACAGTAAATCTTAACATATTAGGTTCTAATAAGAAGGTTTGGGCAGTAACAGCACATGCTGCTCCCTCCTTCCTTTGGAGTTTCAGGCACTTGCCTTAGGGCACAGCCTAAATCCTTTTACTATTCTGAAAGGCAGGAGGCAGAAAAAGGACACTATCTGCTTGGGCATTTTCAGTGACTGCTGCAAAGTGAACACCCAGGAGAACCTTATAAGTCAGCAGTCTCCAACTAGAAGCCTGCAGCGCCTCCCACCAGACCTAAACTTTCCTTTAGTCAAAATCACAACTAATTTTAACTTATTTGAAAGCTTGCATGCCAAGCTGAAAATACTGGTAACCTGAAAATACTGCATGAGAACGCACTCTACCAAAGTCAGTGCACTTTATAAGGACCAGGAAAGGTAAAATTTTCATAATTTCCACCACAGTAGTTAACATTACAAAATGTAACCTTAGACTGCTGAAGTCTTGACTGACAAGCAAAAACAACCCACTAACTTCTTCACCTACAAAAGTTTAAATGCCTTATAATTGCCAAAGCCAAATTTAAAAACCTAAAACCTTTCATAATATTTGAGAAAGTAATCTGAAATTATACAAGGATGACTGGAAATTTTAAGGAAAATGAACTACATAAATCTTCTTTAAAGCTTCTGTGCATGCCAAAACACTCCAAAACATGTTTAAGAGTGACTTTAATGATTAAACATTAACTCATACAATCCACTGGATGCACGTTCGCACACACTACAAAGGAGAAACACCCTGTTTGTAGACACTGGAAAGGTGCACTTTGTTTTTTCAAAGTTTACCCACACTGTGCCACAAAATGTCCTTTCTGAAGAAAATCTTAAAAGCTTAATTTAAATCGTGCCTTTTCAAGCAAGGGGAGGACGCTCAATTTCCACAAAGCAAATGAATCTTACTTTGTAGATAAAGTGAATAATTCGAAATGATTAAACCCAAGAATACCAAACCTGACTTACAGAAACGCCACCCCAATGTTCCCCTGTTTTCCATACTCTCTTGCTCTGGTGACTGCGACCTTTAAAAGGCCGAGAGGACATCCCTGCGCCATGAATACCCCGCTGGCTGGCCACCTGGGCCGCAGCCCCCAGCCACACAGACCGCACCTGCCCGCGCCCGGGCCCCAGCCCGGCCAGCGGACAAAGCGCAGCAGGGCCCAGTCTGGCGCCCAGCGACCCCCAGCCACCGGCCCGACCTTGGCGCCGCCCCGAGCTGGTCGCACAAAGCACTGCACTTCCGTCCGCGCCACCGCCCCGGCCCGCCCGCCGGCCGGGGCTGGGGAGGGCGTGCGTGCCGCCCCCGCCAAGCAGCCCCACTCACCGAGCCGCGCGAGGCGGCCTGGGCCTGGGTAACCAGCGCTCGCCCGCCTGGGCGGGATGGGCCGTGGGTCAAAGCGAGGGTTAGCGCCACGGAGGCCTGTTCCGATGCGGACTGAGCCGCTCGGCCCGCGTCTCCACCGCCGCTCGGGGGCCGCACTCGCGTTTGCTCTGCTCCGCCCGACCCGCCTCTCCGCAGCCCGCGCTCCACTCCGACGCTGCGCAGCACCGGAGCCACAAACCTCACTTCCGCCCGGAGCGCGCCGGAGAGGGGACGCGCGTGGCGCGTGACGCGACGGCGTGCGCGCTCCTGCCTGCGTGCGCGAGGCGCCCGGATGGGCTGACACGCCTGAACGCGCGGAATCCGGAGACCCTAGCTGGCGCTGAGGGCTTCCTTTTGTAGGCGGCGGTCGAGTTGCACAGGTTAATACAGAACAGAGAAAAGAACGTGCCGGGACATAGTTATAGTATTTGTTAACTTCTTGTGAAGGAAGTGTGCTTGGGTTCGCCTAAATGAAACAGCCCCTGCGGCGAGAGAGTGACAGTCCTGGATCACCACCTTCTTCGGCCGTCCGCTGCCCAGGTCTCCTCGCTAACGACGCTATCCCGGCAATCGGGGCGGGCGTCCTCCGTTTCCTCTGCTGGTGGGCCCTCCTCACGTGGCGTGGGCCCCGTGGGTGTGGTACGCACTCTGCCAAGCACTGCTTTGAAAGCCCTGCTTCCCTTTAGGTCAGGATGAGGAATCTGCACCGAGATTGACTGACTTTAAGAACGTACCTGGGGTGGAGCTCAGTAGTGGAGCACTTGCTTAGCATGCTTGAGGCCCAGCACTGCACAAATAAAGTAACAAAACACACAACTCCTAAGAGAGGAACGCGTCATTCAAAACCCCCAAGCTCTGGCTTCATTGTGTTTGATCAACTGGGAAATCCTGGCTTTCATCTTCCTCAGAGTTACTTTCCCTTCTCTAACATGAATAATACCCACAAACAAGTTCCCTGCCTGAACTGAGAGCCAGAGATCAAGAGCTTACCTTGGTCACAAATGATAGGGTGCTGAGTAGAGGATGGAGGGGTTAGTCCCATTGTGCCAGGCAGAGCAGAACCACCTCATGGGCCTCTACTTAGCAGAAAGAGCCCTATCAGGCTACCCAACACTGTCCAAGCAGAGGGCAATTCTACTCTTGAGCAGCATCAGCTGCATTTCCAACTAAAGGTTCTTGAGCTGACATCTATTGAATTTCAGTGGGGATTAAAATACAGGTTGAATCTCCCTAATCTAAACTGCTTGGGACCAGAAATGTTTTAGGATTTGGATATATATGTTTTTTTGGAATATTTGCATATACATAATGAGATATCTTGGGAATGGGGCCCAAGTTTAAGCATAAATTCATTTATCTTTTCCTTTAAGCACAAATTTCTTTATGTTTCCTAAGTGCCTTATACATATTTTGTATACAATTTATAAGTAGTTTTGTACATGAAACAAAATATTATGGAATATGCCATTTCTAGTGTCATGTTCAAAAAGTTCTGAATTTTGGAGTACTTTGGATTTCAAATTTTCAAATTAGGAATGTTCAACCTGTAGTTTGATACAACTTCTAGAGTATGCAAATATTGATCATTATAAACAAAATTAAGACAATACACTTTTAAATATATCCATTGAAATATAAACAGCATGGTGATTTGATTCCCACTGTTTGCCAGCTTAACAATACATGAATAAGTTCTATAACAGAATTTAATCATTCCTTTTTGTTCTTGTACTTTTAATAACTCAGGAGGCTGAGGCAGGAGGATTCCAAGTTTAAGGCTAGCTTCAGTAACAGTGTGGCCCTAAGCAATTTTGTGAGATGCTGTCTCAAAATAAAAAAAATATAAAAGACTTGGGATGTGGCTCAGTGGCTTAGCACCCCTGGGTAAAATCCATGGTACAAAAAATAAAATTATCATTCTTATCAATAAACTTTTTAATAATATTTATGTAAGTCCTATATGAATTTAAAAAGTGAACACAAAAGAACACTTACATACATAGAGGAAAACATCACACATAGAGGAAAACATCACATTCTTGAGTAAGTGAATATAATTGGAAAAAGATCTATGTGCAGAAAATTCGTTTATGAATTGCATAAAATACTGATAACTTTTTAACTAGATAAGTGATTTTTTTAAACTAAGGATTGAACTCAAAGGCTATCACTAAGCTACATTCCCAACTCTTTTTTTTTCAAATATTTATTTTATTTATTTTTTATTTTTTTGGTGTAAATGAACACAACACAATGCCTTTATTTTTATGTGGTGCTGAGAATCGAACTGGGTCCCACTCGTGCTAGGCGAGCGCTCTACCGCTGAGCCACAACCCCAGCCCCTTCCAATTCTTTTTTTATTTTTTATTTTAAGACAGGGTTTCACTAAGTTACTGAACCCTCCTGAGTCACTGGAATCATAGGTGTAAGCCACCATGCCAGATGAAATGATTCTAATGTATGAATGGGGGAAATCAACAAGAAATATAAAAGGCAAGTGTATATTCTAGGAAAACTTTGAAAATAAAGCATAACAAAGGGGCTGGAAATGCAGTTCAGTGGTAAAGCACACTGGGTTCAATCCCCAGCTCCAAAAAAAAAAAAAAAAAAAAGTGTCAAGAACACTAGACTTACCAGCCTTAATTAATGAGAAACTATATTGCTAGTGCATGCATAGTCCAACGAAATATAATAGAAAATTCTGAAATACACTGGAGTAATTTGAGGAATTTAGAGACAGTTTTGGTTTTTATTTTCCTCTTTTGTGTGTGTGTACTGGGAATTGAACCCAGGGGCACTTAACCACTGAGCCACATCCCCAATCCTTTTTTCTATTTTATTGAGGGACAGGGTTTCACTGAGTTGCTTAGGGACTCGATAATTTGCTGAGACTGGCTGTGAATTTTCAGTCCTCCTGCCTCAGCCTCCTGGGCTGCTGGGATTATAGGCGTGCCCCACTGTACCCAACAATTTGAGGAATTTGGTGTCTGACAACATCTCCAAAGAGAGATCAGAAGAATAAAGTAGGGAGACCAGGGGGTGAGAGGAGGGGTTGTAGGGAGCAAGTGCTTGGGATCCAAATTGTCCAAATTACAGTGTTATGCTGTATGCATGTATGAATATGTAACAACAAATTCTATTATTATATACAACTAAAATGCACCAATAAAAAATGTGTGTGGGGGGTAGAGCATTTCAAATCACTGAGATTAAGATGGAACTATTCCATAAATGTATTGGCACTGAAACATAGCCATCTGAAAAAATATAAAATTGGGTGTATGTCTCATCCCATATACAAAGATAAACTCCAAACTAAAACGGTATAAATATATTCCATACAATCATAAAAGAACAAGAAGAGAGCATGGGGTTGTGGCTCAGTGGTAGAACACTTGCTTTGCATGTGTGAGACACTGGGTTCAATTCTCAGCACCACCTACAAATAAATGAATAAAATAAAGGTCTGTCAACTAAAAATAAATAAATATTTTAAAAGTTGTAAAAAATTGAAAAAAAAGAACAAGAAGAAAATGAGGACATTTCTTTGTATGTATTTATTTTGTAGTTGTAGATGGACAGCATGCCTTTATTTTATTTGTTTATTTTTATGTGGTGCTGAGGATCAAACCCAGTGCCTCACACATGCAAGGTAAGTGCTCTACCACTGAGCTACAGCCCCAGCCCCAGCCCCAGGACATTTCTTTTTAATCCTAGAGTCAAGAAGGTCTTCGTAATACTCAAAATCCGGAAGACATGACTATAAAAAAGTTTGGCTAAAAGCATGATAAGCAAACAAACAAACAAACAAACCTGGGCTGGGGATATAGCTCAGTTGGTAGAGTGCTTGCCTTACATGCACTAGGCCCAGGGTTCAATCCCTTAGCACCTCGAAAAAAAAAAAGGCATGATAAGCAAAATCAGAAGACAAATAATTAATAAGGAAGAAATAGCCCCAACACATATCATGGAGAAAGAGTTATCTCTTTAATATTCTGAGAGAGAATATTAAAGAGATAACTCTTAGCAATTAGAAATTCTAAATCTTAACAGAAAAATAAGGGGAGTTCATACAAAAGGAAATACAAATGACTCTTAATCATAAGAAAAAAAAAGTTCAAGGGGCTGGTGTTGTGGGTCAGTGGTAGAGCGATTGCCTAGCATATCGAACCTAGTGTTCAATACTCAGAACCACATAAAAAATAATTAATTAATTAAAGCTGACAAAAATGTTTTGAAAAAAAAAGTTCAACTTCTTCTTTTTGGTTCTGGGGATTGAACCCAGGGGTGCTTAACCACTGAGCCATATCCCCAGCTCTTTTAAATATATATATATATATATTTTTTTTTTTTTTTTAATTAGAGACAGGATCTCCATGAGTTGCTAAGGCCTCACTAAGTTGCTGAGATTGGCTTTGAACTCATGATCCTCTTTCCTCAGTCTCCCCAGCCACTAGGATTATAGGTGTGTGCCCCCACATGGCCTTCAACCTCTTCTGTATAAAGAAAAATGCAAGTTAAAATTTTGAAATAAAATTTTTTCACCAATGATTAGCAAGCATCCACAAAATTGACTGGGCACTCTATTGGTGCCACTACCAGGAAGGGGGCATTCTACACAAAACTTTGACCCATCAACTCCACTTCCATGAGTTTTTCTATAGATACTTGTAGATGTATAAAATGGAACACTTATTCATTGAAGCATTGCTTATAGTTGCAAAATATTGGAAACAACCCCAGTGACCATCACTAGGCAAACGATTGAAAAAATCTGTTCATCCATACAGTGAAATACTCTATAATCACAGGGGTAGGGGTGGTGGAAGGAGGAATTTTTGTATATATTGAAATGAAAATATCTCCAAAGTAGGCCGTTTTATAGAAAACATCAAGAGATAGGATTCTTGTTAAAGAACATTGTATATTTTTAAAAAAAAAAAAAAGAAAAGAAAATGAAAGTAAATAATGAAAAGTTTGAAAAATGAATACAAGAAATTTGTATTAATTTGTATTTACAGACTATATAATGTTTAGCTGGGCATGGTGACACATGCTTGTAACCACAGCAGCTCAGGAAGCTGAGGCAGAAGGATCGCAAGTTTGGGGCCCACCTCATCAATTTAATGAGGCCCTAAGCAACTTAGTGAGACCCTGTCTCAAAA